CGGCCGCATCCCGCCCTCTCGGTCCCCAGGGCGTGCGGACGCTGCCTTCCAGGAGGAAACGAGGCTCTCCCGGGCTTGCTGCTGTGGGATCAGAGGGCCCTTGCTGCCGCTTATCGCTTATCCTGGTGCTGGACCAGGTCCAGAGTGTAGGGCGGGATGTGGGATGTGGCAGTTAGTGTGAACTGGCCAAAAAATAGGCCTTGTCTCCCCTTCTCTGACTTGCTTGCTTGTCCCCTCGAGCATGTAAAGTCCATCTTCTTCCCCAGCACAGTACATGTGTTGATACTCAGAGCTCATTTCCCTTTACTTTTCAGTGTTTCCATTGCCAAGGGCCCCTAAAGGGCCCCAGGAAAAACTTCGGAGAGTTCTAGTACTACCAAACAAAAGACTGATAGTTCTAGGAGTTTGTTCTTCTTGACAGACGTTTTCCAGATGCACCCCCAGATGCAGCCAGTGGGTCAAGTTGACCCAAGTTAGGGGGAAGGCGGTGACCGTGCAGAAATTCCTGTATTCTGGTTGTGCTTAGCTTCTCGGAGAAAGTCTGATCTTGCTCAGCTAACTAGGATTGGAACAGCCTTTAAGTTTAGTGAGACTACCAAAAGCTTCTAGCAGGCGTGAAAGTAAGAGATAGTATATTCCACTGCCGTGCTTGTATTTTACTCCAAAGTGATTATGATCTACTTCATTTAGGCATGCAGTGGGTTAAATAACGCTTATGTGGAAAAGAGTTGCAATGGAGATGGAATGAGTATGTGCTTTGGAAAAAGGACTTTGTGCACTTTTTTTGTATAATGCATAAAGGTTCACTAAAAAAAAACTTAAAAGATTTTTCTTTAGGTTTCCAAGGGGGAGGAGAACAGAAGTGGACCTAAAATACATTCTGATAAAGAGAAACGTTTGGGCTTTCAGGATTTTTTCTTCTTTCATTGTTTCTTTTCTTGTTTCTTTTTTTTTTTTTGTTTTGTTTTAAATTTTTCTTGCAGTATTAGGAAACATTAATGAGAATCTGCCTTTAAAATAGCATGTTTAGCCCATTTAAACTGCAGCCTGTTAAAACACTCATGGTTTTAATTGTGTGAAAAACTTTGGAAAGCTGCAAACATGAAAGATGTGAAGGAAAGACAGAGTAGCAGTAGCAGAGGCTGAGACTATCCATGGGTCAGCAGTTACTCTTTTATAATATCTGGCCAACGCTAGTATTTCTGCAAATCCCTTGAAAGCTCATGCAGTGGCACAAGTGAGTTCCAGCTGCTAAAGCTTCTTTTCTGGGCGAGTGCCCAGCTGTGGATCAACAGCTGAGAAAACCTGGGAGCAAGGCTCGAAGTTCTTTTAAATGGGCACTTTGCACTCAGAACAGGAAAGGACAGATGCTGAAAGCACCACTAACAGAACTCACTGTTCTGCCAGCTTTCTTTTGTATTCCATCACAGTTTCTGCAAAATTTCTCTCTTACGGGGTGTGAATTTCAGAATGTTTATTCAACACAGACTAAGCAAAAATAATTGTCTTTGCCACTATTGATTGGAAGCAAGTTTGAATTTCAGAGTAGTAGTAAAGCACTCCATCAGAATCTGATAGTTAATGTTGTCTGTGTTTACTGGAACAATTAAAAAGATCCAAATGGCTGATACATTTTTAGTAAGAATGGAACTGGTAATTTCTCAGTATCACTTGTGTGACTTCAAACTATCTTATGGAGAAGGTTTTTAAGTGCCTTTTATGCTGGTGAGACTGCAGAGAGGGGCTCACGTATACTGGCTGATTTGTAATAAGCATTATAAATGGATGTGGTTTGTGTAAAGAGTTGAACTTTCAGGTAAGTTTGCAGGAGATGGGGTAATAGATCGGCAGTATCTCTGTTGTGTCAAGTTCTTGTCCAGGTGGGGTCAGGTGTTTCTTCCTTTGTACACAAACAGTTAGGCAGTAGGAGATTCATTCAGCAGTGCCCTTGGTGGCGGGATGATTGTATGGATCAGAGTAGGCAGGGATTACTTAAATGACTCTTCCCAGCAGAGTTACAGTCAGCACAAGTCTGGTAAATATCATGGGAGACAGACTACAACAGGCAAGGTGTAGACTACAACAGTTTTTGACTTAAACAGTTCGTATATAGTGTGTAGTTACAGCACAGGTCATCTCTTGCTGCAGTGTGAAGACACATGGATGTATTTTAACAAGCCTGAGGGAAAGTGTTGTTTTATCCTTCTTGTCATAAAAATGCTTTATCATTCAGAATGTGCACAGTATGAGTAGGCTTGATGAAAGTCCCTAAGGATGCCCAGACCTAGTGAACCATGCAGCATTCTGAGTTGCTGATTTGTGAAGGGTGGGGCTGAGATCTCCATCTTGCAGTACTTATCTGTGGAGATTGGAATAACAGATATTTGCCACAGTGTAATGTTAATTTCAGTGGAATAAGTAGATATCAAAGCCAAGTTGATATGATTGTTGCTGTATAGCCCTGAGCCTGTTAAACTGCTTGCAGAATGAAACGTAGAAGCCTCAAGCTGCACACTCCTGTGCTTTCTAATGCTTAAGGGTTAGCTGAACATGGCTGAAGAATATGAAGGCTCTGAGCGTCTAATTCTGCTTCAAAGAAGTGTAGTAGCATCCACAGCAGAGAAGGAATTTATGTCATTGCATGGGCTTCATCAAGAAGGTCAAGCCCATATTTTTCTTGCATCAGACATCAGCCTGTCTGACTTCCACTGTAAAGCCCTAAAGACAGTGAGCTCCTTTATGGTTGGTTCCTCAGAGACAAGGCAACTGTTACTGTATGGTTTCCTCTGGCCATGTTGCCTGAGATCACTGTCTGTGCAGCCGTGACTGCTGGTGGTTTTCCTTTCAGCATGGCACTGAGATGCACCCAGGTTGTATTCTTTGCCAAACAATGTGTATAGCCAGTTGGCCCCAAATGACCTGCAACTCCGTTTTGCTTTCATCTCATGTTAGGCAGTGCTCCTCATGCCATGTAGGAACATGGAGGTGGTGTAGGGATGTAGCATAGGAATCTTTGCATGCCCAATGGAGCTGCTATTTAATATTTCAATGCGCTTCTTTTCTTTTTCTGAAGCCCTCCTTTACCTCATAGCCGTGCTGACCTGTTTGACCTGAGCAACGACCAAGAGCTGAACCTTGCCTACATTTCTTCTGTTCCACATGGTGGCATTGAACAAGTTCGGATCCACTGGTTACTGGAATTAGTTGCTCTTAGGTAAGTATACACCTCAAGTCGAAGTCTAGGAAAATGTGACACATTAAAGGGTCCAACAGGCACTCACTTTGATGTTTATCTTAGCCGAATTGCAAGCTGGGCATATCTTTGCTTCTGTGGAAGTCAGCTAAGTTCCAACAGATGGGAATAATTCTGGAATTTTAAGAAACGAAGAAAGACAGTTTGTAGAAAACTTGAGAAATTGAGGGATTAGAAAGATGGCTTACTTTTTAGTCCTTTAATATAGGAAGTGTGATACAGTTAAAAAGTCCAGCAAAGGTTGATACAAGCCTAACTTACTGAGAGGTCCAAATGAAAGCTGCCACTAACCCTTCTGCCTATTTTAGAAGTTACTTTTTGCCTCCTGAAGCCATGTGTGCACTGCATTAATTGACAAGTAGTGAGAATTAAAACAGGCTGGATTTGGGTAATACCAGTTAATACCCTATCCAAAAGGTTTTATATACAAAATGGCATTTTTAGTTTTAGGGAAGTATATGTCAGACTTTAGGAGAACACTTGGAATTCATTTCAAGTCCCTTTTAACTCAGCTTGAGCAAATTCATATCAAGATGCCTAGTGAGAACAGCTAAATAGCCAGATGCCTAGAGCAGGAGCAATTGGTCTATGAAGAAAGACAAACCATAAAAACCCCATGAAAAATTGTAATAGCTCTTAAAAGTTCTGCCTGGCCCAGACTCTTTCTGAGCTGAGCACATTTACAGTCCACATTATTGTTGCATCTACTGTCCCAGACACAGAAGAATGGGAATTTACTGTTTTGGGGAAGCAACAGGGAAGGAGAGCTCAGATGCTGAAAATGGCATGTGTGCAGAGGAGTAGGGAGTTTCAAAGTGTGCATTAGGAGCAGAATTTTTCTTTCTCAATATTAGAGTGTGCTTGTGTATGTCTGCTTTTTATTAAGGTGGTCATAAGTCCTGCACACAGGTAAGCATTGGATCAGTACCCCAGAGTGGCCTCTGTTTTTTAATTCATCGGTGAACATAGCGGGTAACGGGGCTCCTTGCTCTCTTCTTTCCCTCTTGAAGTTTCCACTAAACACCTTTTCCTGTGTGTGTCTCCCTCTCTCACTGGACTGTGGAATATGTACAATATGTACTCTTGGAGTGAGCCAATGTAAAGGACAACCATCCCTGCTCACTGCTTAAGGAGTCCCTGTCTTAGAGATTTCTTCTGGGAGGTGGATTGAGTCTTTCAGGTTTCTGTAACTAATTCACGTAAGAAAAATCAATGAGTACCTTTGGAAAGAAAGTAGCCACATCTGCACTTGGAGCTCAGAATCCCTTCTGGCAGGCTCTCTTAGCTATGCCATTGTGTTGAATTGGGTGTTCCACATGACTGAGGGAGAGGAATGCATCTGTCATGGATTCTGCTCAGCCTTTGTGGGGACTGAACCACTGAGCCTTTTAAAAAAAGTAGGATACAATCCTTGACACAATTGAAATTCTAGGACTGTGGAAACATAGCAATCAATCAAGAAGTCCCCAAAAAGGCTTTAGTGTCTCAAAGGTAGGATTCTGCCCTACCAGCATCAATCTTTAGCCCACCTTTGACATGTAGAATCTAGAAACTGCTACTGTTTAGAGCCAAGCTAAAATGTCTCATTTTACAGAAAAATGTTCATTTGTCAAGGACAAGAAGACATGTAAGTTGTGGGAGGACAACCAGTGGACTAAATGTCGGTACTTTTGGAGGGGGAAGGGGCATAGAGCCTGTGACAAACATAGGTACTCAAAAAACCAGCAGGAGCAGAAATGCAATTCTGAGCAGAGAAGTTCAGTGCTGATGCCTAATTTTGTGCATGTGTAAATCTTTTCCTGAGCCAGTGATTTCCAGAAGGATGGAAAGAGGCTTTAAGTGCAACCATCTGAGTGCAGAATTGTCTTATGTCATGGGGTTCATGAGTAGAGAACACTCCTTGGAATGTAGCTGGGCACTTGACTGAAGAAGAGCCCTTAGGAAAAACAGAGGACCTCTGTGGAACTCTAGCAGATAGAGACTTTGCTTTTCTTCACAGCTGCCACCATCTGTAAAAAAGGTGCCATAAATGTTTCTGCCAAGGAATAGATGTACTTAAATAAAGGACCGCCACCTTCCCCTTCTCACTTCTGTAATGGTCTTTCTCATTATGTTTTTTACTCCCCCAATACCAAGTGCATCCCTTAATTTTTTCTAGTACAGCAAGCCCTCCCTCTTCATATTTGTCTTTATTGGGAGTCAGCCCATTATTTTGTCCCTTGTGAAAGAGTACCACAAGGCAAACTGTTTTCAAATAACTCCTAGTTTTATTTTCCAGCCAGTAGCACACATTTGTCTCTTGGTCTTGGTCTTGTGACACAGGAATATTCATGATTGTGGGGAAATTCAGGATGTCTTTGATGGACTGGACAGTTCCCAGGTTGTTGGTTACCAGTGCCAGTAAATAGAGCTATTTTGACACATTCTGACCATGCTTCACTAGTCAACAAGACAGGACACTTCGAGCTGAAGACTCCGTCTCTTTGCCCAGTTCCAAGGGACACACACAGAGTCCACAATAAGAATCCTTTCCCATTTTTATGTAGCAGTACTACAGTCTGTTGGCTACATGATATGTAGTAAATCACAAGGCATCACAGTGAACAAAAATACAGTCAACCTACATGAAGCATATAACATTTCTTAAAAGGCATATAACGGTTTTTATTTCAATATTAGTATTAATCTACTTGGAATTACCAGCCTATCCCCAGCTCCTCTCCAAGACATGATAGCTAATTTCTGGTAAATTAGGAGAGAAGAGAATCAGTAGTTTTTGTTAATTTTCAATCTTCATATCTTTAATCTTAGCATAACTCAGTATAGCAAACATAAATGTACCAGAAAAAGGCTTGCTTTTTTTAGTTACCTTTTACATACTCCTTAGAAATAATTCACAGTCTGCCAGAATCCCTACAACATAGCACTGAAGCTGTTTCCATGTTTTTTTTGTCCACAGTTGATTGTGAGCCAGCTCTGCCAGTAAAACCAAAACAGGAAATTGTTCTTACAGTTTCTTCTGACCAATAGTTTCTTTCTTCATATATAAATTCTAAAGTTTACCTTTCCTCTTATGTGTAGTGAAGTTTCTTTACTTATGTATCCTTTGGTACCAACTTAAATGTGAAAAGAGACTTCCCACTCTTACTTTCTTATCCTCTTCATTATTCTCCAGAGACTCTTGCAAGGTTACGCCTTCCACTGGAATTTCTTTTTCTTTTTTTTTTTTCATCTTTTAAAATGAGGTTAATCTAGAGTTAAGGGTATATTTGCAATTTTTTTTGTGTTCTATGTTGGTAGCTGGATCCAGAGAGCTAGAAAAAGTGTAGGTTGGTAGGATGTTTTATTTGAATTCCAATGACAGCTTGTTTTAGCACAGTGTCCTATGAGTGTCTATATTGATACTGTCTGGTAGTAATTCTTATCAACCCATTTGCCCTTTAAGGTCCAAACAGGACGTTAAAAGAGGTATTCCCCGATCAAAGAATGGTTACAAACAAGAGCAGGTACTAAGCAGTTTTTTGTCCTTGAGCCCTGCTCACTTCCTTTTAGAACAGAAAGAAGCTAATCATACCAAGTCAGCTATTTAAATAATAATGTGGATTGTTTTGTGACAGGAAGATATTGCTAATGATCAGTCTTTAATCTCACGTCAGATGTTTCTGTCAGGTTTTGCAGCTTTAGCAGTACTAACAGTGTGCAGCTGATAGGCTTGCTACACAATGAGTGTGTGAAAAAGCCAGCATTGAATAACTTGATTCTGTGCTAGTCATAGTCCCTGTGAAGATATTTTTGGTCTTTTGGAAGTGCACTGCTTTTCCTCTAAGAAAATACTTGTTTCTGAGAGCCAGGCTCTGGAGCACCTAGAGAACCTCAGTTTGACTGTTCTTTCATTCAGTGACCTAAACAAATGGCTTCTCTATATATGGAACCTATTTCTAGAGTCTGTTAGTTTTGAGAGGCACAGCTGTGATAGAATTTCCTTCCATGCTTGGTGGTGTGTGAACCTGACATGAAAAAGGAGAGAGAGTGAGCCCAGCTGTCTTACCTCTTGTGCAGGTAATTATAAACTTGAGTATGAAACAGAATATTCTGCCCGTGCCATGAGCCAGAACACTGCATACTGTCTTACAATCAAAATCCAAAACTATTCTTATTTTTGAAGAGAGAGCATACATATACAACAATACAACTGATGACTAAAGTATAACGAACAACAGTTAATGCAAATTATTATAGAAAGTAACCAGCCTCAGAAAACATGATCTGGTAGACCTCAAATCAAAGATTAATAATATAGGAAAAAAACACCAAGCAAACAAAACCCCCACAATATCTGTAGTATGTACAAACAATGGTGAAAGTTTTTCAACATAGAGGGATACACAAGTTACAAAGCATTGCTCCGTTTACTTGACCCATGTATGTTACTTGTAATACTTCATTAGCATTGCTTCAGAGAAGACCAGCCAGGCAGTTCTGACTGATCCATCAATCCCCTTTAAGAAAACTCACAGATTTACCTTCCCACCCTACCCTTATTGTCTCCTCTTTTTCTTTGAACCCAGGCAGGCATTTGTAGGAAGATAGGGATGTGTTGCATCACAGCTCTGAGGTTTTATGTTTGATGGTCCTTTTGTGTCCCTGAATTATAGTTGCGTCTGCCCACCAGAGGCAACTTATTTTACAGGATGGTACAACTAGCTGGGTAGCTGCCAGTTAAAGCCATTCATTTTTCTTAACTCTATCCTTTTACTAGTTAGAAATTTGCACATCGGAGTCATATTTCTTCCAGCATGATTAGGGGTATCACAGCCTTCAGTAACTAATTATGACAGATTTAATCCAATAGAACAGATGACTTCTGTAACTCCAAAGCCAGCAGTTTTCGAAAATGGTCATTTTGAAAGGAACCTGTGATGGATCATAGTTTCTTCTCCTGTGGCAGATTATGCTGTTAAGTGTGTGTGATCAAGGAGGAGAGATATTCTACATTCCACAATATTTTATGCATTTTATTTTTATGCAAACAGTGGGGACTTGTCTAGGAGTACACCTGGAGTGACTGGAAGGAGTAGGGCCTTGCAAGTCACCGTTTAAACAATGATATATCCAGAATGCTGTATTGATCGCTTTTTGATGAAAGTGGCTTTGCCTTCTTAACACAAACCGGCCATTTAATCACTTGAAGAACAGCACTGGGTAGGCCTTCCACCACAATAGTCCCCTGACATCCATCTTGGGTCACAAAGGATCATGGTAAGATGCAAGTCCATCTCAAACAGCCATTGACTGGATTTTAAAGTGAAGGTGGTGGTCTAACCTTTCCATGCTTGTCCTGGACTGCGTCCCCAGTGGCTGCCCTTTGTAGCATATGACATAAAGTGGAACTCTTTGGGGGGAATGGCTTTACGCAGCCAACTATGTGTCTGATAGTTGCAAACTACCCCTCTCTGTCTGTCACTTTGTGGCGAATCATCAAGGAGGACTCAGGGTTAAACTGGGCAGTCTGCTGGAAGCTTTTGGTCTTTTGCAAACAGCACAGCATTATGTATACTGTAGAACAGCATTTCCTGCATGCATCCAAAATCCTTTCCGAAGTAACCCCCTCTTTTCAGAGAGTCTATCACTGAGGGATTGCAGCAAGCCAGAAGAACAGAAATGTTTAAATTCTTGTAGTCTTTCAGGATTTCCTTCAAAGTATTAACTCCAGTGGTGTCCAAAAATGAGATGGAGGAGCAATCAACAATGAGGGCTTGGAAATCAATTTGCTTAGGAACTAGTTGCAAAGTGGTTTCTCCAATGCCCAGTCCATTAGCAGTTTTGTGATTTCCCTTTTTCAGATGCTGCTTTTCCTTCTTCTCATATTTCTTCCTTCGAGCAGCTTCTAGGTTAGGATCTAAATTGGTCAATCTGTACAGAGACTTTAGGAAGTAGTTTCTATTTGCATAGTAAAGTGGGGCCTCAAAGCGAAATATTTTGACCTTTGGAACAGGACAGAGATTTTCATATTCTAAGTCATCCTCATAAAAGCTTGTGTCTTGAATCTGACCAAGCAGGGCTGTCCGTGGCCGCTGGGTCCGAACAATGATGCATAACATGGAGAAAACAATGCCAACCAACAGCCCTATTTCTGTGCTGATCAAGGCAGAGGCAGACATGGTAACTACCCAAACAAGTGTGTCCACCTTATTCACACAGTATCTTGCTGGCACATCCCGGAACTTCCTCAGGGCTCCCCGAAGGCTCACAATGATAATACAAGCCAGGACACACTTCTGCAAGGAGTAGAAGAGAGGTGCCAGGAAGAGCAGCACCAGCAAAACCACCATTGCACTAATTACTCCAGAGATTTGAGTTTGGCAGCCTGTAGATGTTTTGACGAGTGTTTTTGCCAAAGCTGCACTGGTTGCAAAAGAGTGGAAGAAGGAAGGAATGATGTTGCAGAACCCCACAGCAAACATTTCCTGATTGGCTCGGATGGTGTAAGCATATTTCTTTGCAAACATTTCGGAAAGGGATACAGTGAAGACAAAGCTGACTATGGCAAGAGGCAAAGCATCTAGAGCAACTCTGAGCATTAAGTTGAACTCTGGTACCTTTGGAGGGATAAATCCTGTTGGAATAGCTCCAGAAACACTGGATGCATACACTTCATTTAACTTACCATAGTGTGACACCAGTGTTGCCACAACAATAACTACCAGCTCTGTGGGAAGAGGAAATTTCAGTTTATGCTTATACCGATCTCCAAGTTCCTTAGCAGTGACCAGCACCACAATACAAATGGCACTTGTGATGACATCACAAATGTTGGCCTGAGAAATGTTCCGGAAAATGTTAATCCAGGTAATAACCAGCATCCCGTGCCCTTGGCTGCGTGGAATTTTTATTCCAATAAGATACTTCACTTGAGCTGTTAAAATGGTTAAGGAAGCACCAGTTGCAAAGCCATCTAGTACGGATTCAGATAGGTACATAGATACAAAACCTAGACGAAAGATCCCCATTAGAACCTGAGGAAACAGAATAAGAAGAAAAAACAAACCATGAGCTGTAACCATTGCTGCAAATAATTAAGTACAGATGGGGGAGAGCTAGCTGGAGGCCAATAGTATTTGGCTATTTCATTCTTGAAACAGGAATTACCCTTTTTTGTTTCCAGTCTGCTTTTAAAATGTGATTCCTTTTACTGTTGTGGAATGCTGCAAATGCAAGAGGTGAATGAGGAGTTTGAGACAGGCTGGTCAGTCAAGCATTTGTCTGAAATGACTCCACTGAAGTGGCTTGCCTGATTTTTATTCCCCATGCAAAAGAACAGCGGGTCCAAAATACTTCTGTTATACCAAAGTCAATTTTCCTTTTTTCTGTCTTAAAGCAAATAAAGTTAACATGTATGGCCTTTTCCTTGTAAAAAAAACTTGATTGACAACAAATCAGATCCCCACTTTAGCTTTTTCATTAAACAGCTTTTAATTTTAGCTCTGTGGACAGAAGGGAACATGGAGTGCAGATGGCCCTTGTTGCATGCCTAAGATCAAAGTGTCAGAACAGATCACCAACTCCACGATTCTGTCCTTAACTAGTTGATTCTTCTTAGATGGTTTTGGAAAGTACAACTTCACAAGGGCATTTTTTTGTTCATATATGTGACCTGAAATTTCTTACTGCAACCAGAAGATAGCTGGTTCTTTCTGCAATCATATATATACACCGATACATACATACACACACAGAGTTAATTGTGAAGTATGTTCATGATGCTTGTTCTGTGCTCTCTTGATATCCTTGTTGACAAGTGTCAAGGAGTTCAGCACAGCCATTATCTGAAAAGTGGGTTAGTCAGTGTATTTCTCCTCTTGTTCTTTCTTTGAATTATCTTTTGGGTACCAGTTTGGTGGAGCACAGCACGCCCTACCAAAAAACTGAGCTTCTCATTCTGAACCTGCAGAAGTAGTTGAGTAGGTATACACCTCTATTAAAATATCTAGGGAAAAAGTGATTTCTTCATTTTTAAGTACACAGCTCTCTGGGAGTTTCCTGTATCTGTACTGGGCCTCACTGTCCCATGAAAGCAACAGGGCCAAGAAGCAGAAGAGTATCAAAATAATGTTGATGGTCTTCCATAAGACTCTTGTTTTACCTGTGTTTACTAGCAACTAAGAAAACTGCCTCCCTCATGCTGTCTCTGAATTGCCTACCATTAGGCTTCCTGGAGAAAACAGCCCAAGGTACATTTGAATGAACTGATGATGTATCTCATTGAAAGACAGTCAAGCCAAAGCTTAGGTCATGAAAAAAAACTTTAGGAAGTTCATACCTTGCCTCTGGGTGTCAGCAACCACTTACCTGATACACTCCAGCCATGAATGTCAAGGCTGTAGCAATGCCAATAGCGTAGCACTCTTTCCCACACTCGGCATTTATCCCCGCAATGGTAAGGTTGAAGGCAGTTGTGTTGGACAGATTATCATTCTGCAGAGAGCCGTCACCTGATGCTGGTGGGGCATCATCATTCAAGTCAAACCCAGCCAAGAGAAGTTCTCGGTCCACAACTTGTCCCACCATTAAGCTTATCAAGCTGAAAATGCCAACTGAGACGTGACGGGATGTGCCCATTAAGAAATAGATGATGTTGGCAAAGAAAGATGTGTAAAGGCTATAAATGGGCTTCAGACCTGCCAGCAGTGAGTATGCAATTGCTTGAGGCACCAAAATTATCCCAATCACTAACCCAGACATAATATCCCCCCAAATGTACTCTTTGCATCGGTACTTGGGAAGCCATCGCAAAACAGGAAAGAAGTCCATAAGGAAGTTCTTCAGCTTCTGTGGTGTGCAGGAGCAGCTCTTTCTCAGCTTAGCTACCATGACTTCTTTCCTGTTAATCTTGACACGAGTCTTTCTTTCCATGAGAAAGCAGGATGAGGTGTTGTTTTCCATTCTGGTAGCCTCAGGTTGTCTTTCCATTTTCCCAGTGCTTACTTCATCTAATGTGTTCCTGCAAAGTGAAGAAAACCTCTGTCAGGTTGCAATTTGTGAAGGTTTTTTTAACACAGTCACTTAACACTAAAAGTTTGTTGATTTTGCTTTTAAGGAGGCGTCATCCCAACAAAAACACTCTCACAGGGCTCCAGTGACACATAAGGCTAAGAAATAAATATGTCCTTTCTTCCACACATGAAGGAGTATTTTGAATTGAATCCAGTTTGTTCTAATAAAGAAAAATGGGGTTAAATTAGCCATTTTTTGTTATGACAAAGATTTCTATCATCTGTTCTAAATGTTCTATCATAAAGGTCTTTGTGACCAGAAGTAGGACTTGATGGTGTGAAATAAACATGTGCTAGTGAGGTGGGTCATAGTGTTTCTCTACAGTGAGTACATCTTGTAATCATTGATTAGTAACTCTCATGGGGTATGATCTGTCACTGCAGTTGTTGTTGGTGCAGAAGAGAAAAACATTCCTGGTAGGACCTGTAAAACAAAGTTTTCTGGAGAGCAAAGCAGCAGTTTAGTCTAACACCAAAGATATGTACATAAAGAATTGACAGACTCTTTGTAGCTGCTACATAACATTAACTTGTTGCATTGTAGATTTTTTCGATGTGCAGCTTCTGGTAATAAATGCCTCCTCACAAATACTGCCACATTGGTAACATACAGACCAAGCACCATGACATTACCACATTGGAAGAGTGCTACATGTTATTATTTTCAGGTTTAAACCCATAGTTACCCAACTTTGGTAACTATGCCAGTATGAGATACAACAAATAATTATGTGTACAGCAGAATAAACACAGCAGTGCTACCTATGATTCTCCTGATTGTTTTCTAGTAGTATGTGATGGCTGGGATGATTTGTATTCCCCTGATGGGGGGTTTTGTTGTCTCTTGCCTCAATGAACACAACTGTTTTCACCAATCTTGACTTCTGCATTTTTACTCAATTGTCAAATTAAATTGAAATTAGCTTAGTGCATTGATAAGTAATTTGGGGTAGGTGGGAACATGGCTAAGAGGCAAAACATGCAAGTGTCCTAACTTGCATAGCTAGAAAAATGAACTAGGAACACACAGATGGAAAATGTTAAACAGGCTATGCCAAGTGACAAATCTTTTCTGGTTAGCAGTAGAGAGAAAGAAGAGACTTCGATGTGAGGATGCCCATGTAAGAGTAGTGGGAAATAAAGAGTGCCTCGTACTGATCTAGATGAAGATAGTATGTCCCAATACAACAGTATGCAGAACTTTGAGGAAAGCAGACCTCTAGGCTCAGCCTCTCCCAGTGTCATTAACAGCCAGGATCTCTGCATCAGAGCTATTTGGTGCCAGAAGTGACATTACCATAGTGTCAAATCTTGTCTTCACTTACAAGTGAAAGCTGTTTCTTTCCTCTTTTACTGTTTAGAGACAGACTCTGTACCCATCAGTTTTATAAAACTTGAAGTAAACTTACTGGCACAGTATTCTGTTGGTAAATTTTAGTGGTTTAAACAATTAATACACAGTTTAGATGCTACTGACAGAATTCTCAGTAAATTTAATGGGATTTTTTGCTGTTAACAAGAACATTATGATTTGTTGATGTTAGGTAATAGCCTAAGGTGTAGAATTCTGAATTTAGAAAAAGCATTAATGAGTCCAACTGGAAACATAATAGAAAAGCAAAAGAACAGATTAGCAATTGCCTGTAAGCCTTTGTCTGGAGCAGTCCAAACTGAGACTGGCTTATTAGAAAGTCTTTTGTCTATCCTGCTTAGAAATAGTTTTCAAGATTTTAATAATTATGTTTTGCCATCAGATTGAAAATAATAAGGTGATTATATATCTGTAACTAGAGCAGAAATTTTAAACAAGTTCCCAGGTATTATGATACAGCATAGAGATAAATGATGCAGCATGATTTCCAAGGCTATGCAATGTTTAACCACAATTCAAAGCAGGATCTTCAGGTATTATAGATAATTTATAACTTGGTAAAAGGCAGAGTAGAGATTCTTGCTAGAAATGTGTGGACTGATTGTCCAAGTTGAAAAGAACCTGCATAGCAGTCTAAACGTATGTTTAAAAATTAGTAGAGTTTTATCCATCCCAATTACATAAACCCATTTTAGCTCCCATTGTATACATTTCTTTGTAAGTTTATTTCCATCATAAGGGAACACTATTTACAATTTAATATAATTATTTATAAAGATCCGTGTTCATTCTTTATCAATGCTAAATTTACTTTAGACCCTAATGTACTGCACAGTTATGCTAGCCAAGATCTGCTTTGACAGGAAAATAGGTTGGATCTAGTCTTTGTTAGAATGCAAAGGTGACAGAAAAGATAAATGAAGTTGCAGCACCAGGTGAAGTACTTAAGAGCATATGAATAAAGTTTACCAAATACAGAATGCTAGCAGTTGTAATAAAGACGCTGATTTTTAAAAGGCAAAATCCCAATACTTCCTTCCAGTCTTACCTAAATTAGTTTGGAGAATGACACGCTTGTGCATCAGGACAGCAAGTCCTTATTTAAATGCCACTCACTTCTTACAGCCAAGTGAATTCAGCCAGCCAGGAAATAAGTATTGTACCCTTGCTTGACATACTTAAAAGCTAGTGGGCAGTTCAATATCCAATGAGTGCTTTTTATAGGCTACATAAAAAAGATTGCATCAGCTTCTGTACACTTGGCTCATATATTTAATTACATAGTTGCTGTCTGCCTTTCTCTAATCTCATACAATTTACCTGGAAATAATGTGATATTTACAAAAAAACCCCATTACAATTCAGAGGTGTGTATTGTTTGAGCAGCTTCCTGAGGGATAATAGTGATTTTTATTACATAAGATGATTTCAATGCAATTTCTTTGGAAATCTATTAAGAGATCTTGTGTTTTAATGATAGTTTATTATTATATATATTCACTATCCTGCTGTACTGGAAAATCAGAATAATAGCTTTTTGTAAAAAACAACCAAGCCTCCCCCACCTGTAAAAAAAAAAAAAAAGGTAGTACAGTAAACTATGTCTCTTCTGTTTTCAAGCTGACAGTAAGTTATTTTCTTCAATTTCTTTTTTCTGAAAATAAAGGCATCCTTCCTGTAAGTAGCTGTTTATTCTGTTGTATATGCTTTCAGATTCCGTCTCAAATGAATGCAGTAGCTGTTAAGCAGTCAGCTCTCAACCTAGATTGGTATCCAGAAACGGTTAATGTTTAAAGTTTCCTTGTTGCTTTTAGAAAGCAGTAAAGCCACACCAAATAAGGTCAGGGGCATTGTTATCAGCAACCCATTTTTCAGCTGTGTAATCCAGTAATTGTCAATACGTATAACTCATTGCTTCACCTGAAGGAAGTGTGATTCCACCACAGATAGGTGCTATACCCTGTACATTTATGCAGCCTAGTGGAGCTTGCAGCTTCCAATGTTCTGGCCCTCCCCAAATACAGAATGGAGAAGAGGACATCTGTCTGCTGTCGTGCACATGAGCAGACTCCAGCCTTCTGATTCTGGCACTGAGATCCAACACCATTCTTCCAAAGTGGTAATACTTGAGCAGTGTGCAGGAGCCCTAGGGGGGCAGCAGGTGGATTCCTTTACTGGTTCACCAAATGACCCATTTTCATCTTAGTCCACACTAAGAAATGGAAACCCGGAATTCCTCCATTCCTTCCTCCAGACCTCCAGAGCTCCACAGAACATAATGTTTGCATTTTATTCAAGTCATGATTTGCTGGAAGAGCCATTCTTAACAGGGCTGCACAGATGAAGCAGCACGTAGCATGAAACATGTTAGTTCCTTGCGCTTGACTTTGGTGTTGGAACAACTGTTTAAACAAGTGAAAGCTGACTTGTGTGCATATTCATGTATATGTGCAACATTCATATAATTACAACAGAAAGTAGTCTTGGTTATTTTTAATTGTACTTTATGTTTGGAATCTTCACAGTGAAGTTTTTTCAAGTTTCCCTTGACCATATGAGTGAAAAGCAATTGAACAGAGCCTTTTCTGACCCACTCATTCTTTCAGGTTTTAACCTGACTCAATGCATTGACTCAATTTATTTTGTGAAAAATAAAAACAAGAGAAAGAACCATTTAAGCCAAACAAACTGCTAACTTTCCAACTGGCCTTAGTCCCACCTTTATTCCTGTCTTTTCATCATACCTGTGACCTGACAAAATCTCTCTGCAGGGGAAGAAACAATCGTCACAGTATGTTCATGTGGGATTTCTATTTGCAGCTTCTTTGGGAGGCAGTTTCTCCTGCTACATGTATAACCATTCTAAATGGATAAGTTGTTCTTTGTGAAACAGCACAACCCCTAAAAACTTAATTATTTTGCATCCTTTTGCCTCCCCATCCTGGATTGCCCACCAAAAAATCTGAAGCTGTATCTCTATAAAGCTAGGAAGGAGTAGCAACAGTGAGCCTGTCTCCCTGTGCTGAGATACTTTAAATGCTTTATTTGGAACAGAAGTCAGATGGTATCACAGCTCTATATTATAATTGCTCACTTACTGAAATAGTGATTTCAAGTGTAACTTAGGATAGAGCCATTTAAAGAGTTTAAGCCAAGTGATGTTTGTTTTTTTCTCCATGTTTGAACTATGAAAAATCCACTAAAAACTAATGTGGTTAGGGTGGTTTTTAATTTATTTGTTGCATAACTTATTGAAAAACATGAGAGACATCAGTCTAGTTAAACATTTGATTGGAAACACAGGTGTTAAGTTGTTAATGTTCATCTTTCATATCAGAAATCTTTTCTGTCTCATAGAAACCTTTCTTGACTCTAGTGGCTATGATTGCATTACTGTTCTGATTTTGAGCAATGACACGATATTGAAAAAGCTCCTTGGTTGGGCTCATTTATGGTGCATAGATTTAATGTACAGGGGTGTGTTATTCTTGCAAACTGGATTTTTTTTCAGAGGACGGCACCTAGAAACTATGCCCCAGTGCACTTTGACACTTTATGGTGGCATAAAAACCTAAGCCAACAATTGGTGCTTTGGACATACTTGAACAGATGTGAGGAATACATTTAGTTTGTGAGAGCTGACTAGTCTGAAATAAAGTCCCCTGAGATGCATATAATGGAAGACAATACTGCTTTAGCACCTATTGCTTTGATTTATTAATGTTTTGTTCTACAGGGTTGCTTAGATAGGTCAACATAACCTTAAAGTTTTAGAAGTCATCAGGTACTAAACAGAACAAGTGAGAGGAATGTTTCTCTCTGTCTTACATTAGCTATTATATTTTCATCTTTAGAACTAAGATGTACTTGGAAGCAGACTTAAGCAAACTTAAGGTGCCAGCAGTGAAAACCATTTATTTATACTCTGACCCAGCAAGCTGTCAGACTGCAGGCACAGAACATGGCAATGCCTTGTAGGAAAATCATATGAAACTTGTTAGGTTTAGTTAGTTTTTTCACTATATAGGGGAAAAATGTTACTGCTTTAAAGCATTTTTGTCTTTGAGTTTCAATGTTACACTAATTTAAACATGAAAGAGGAAATAGCATTCCAGTTTAGTGGTCTCTACAAGTCAGGAAAGCCAGATCATGTCCTCTACAAATTAAACTGCTATACTAAGGGAGGTTCTGAGAGTCTTTCAGATTTGTGTATTTCTAATTAAAATCTCCAATTCACAATTTCTGTTTTCAACTGTAAATTGATTTAGGACTTTCCAGGCAAGTTAGGCTCTTTGTTAAGTGTCTGCATTGACCAGCAGCTGTGATTCAAGTCTTATTTTCCCAAGAATTCTCAGTTCCATATCCCAGTGAGTAAGGTGACAGCTGCTGACAGGTAACAATCCCAGAGCTCATGAGAAGGCTAAGTGGAACTCATGCAGTTGGCCAGCACCTGTTGTTATGGCTGGCCCATCAAGATCATCTCTGGGAGTAATCATTTATGCAGATACATGGTCAAGTAGTTTCACTTGTTCTGCAGAGACAGTTTTTGTGCAAGGATTCCAGAAATTGCTGATCTAACTATTGACATGCTCTTGAAGGCAAGACAGCATTTTTCTTCTGGAATGACCACTAAAAAGGCATTTCCTGTGGATTCAAAAAACATTCCTAAAAATCAGATTTCTTACTTTTGGGAAAGTAGCTGTTTCAAAGTCAAAGTCTGTTATTTAAAATAAAATAAGTCTTTCAGGATAGCTTTTCAAGACCTTGGATGCTGTGGTGTGTTCTTAAGTTCGTTAGTTTGCTCCCCCCATTTTCTGTATTACTTCCTGCTGCTACCCTGCCAGTTATGTTGCTATGGAAATGAAATTGCTCCTCCCTTGGTTTCTCTTATAAAGTGAAAGTTGTTTCCTCCTTGGGGTCAGTCAATCACTCTTTTTCTCCTCCCAGGTTTCGAGAATTTTCTTTTCTCTGGGAGGTATGGTTGGCTGTAGCCCCGGAGCCTCTCCTATGATTTATAACAGTTGGTTACTTTAGTATATCAGTTATGTTTCGTACCTCCAAATATGTATTTCTATTGGATAGCCGGGTTTCCCTGCCTTCTTCCCCCCTTTTCCCTTAAAACCCTCTCCTGCCCCTTGTCCGGGGCCATTTGCTGGGTGTTTCCCCTCCCTTGTTGGTTCTTCTGTAATAAACCGACAGTTTACCCCCAGCAAGTGGTCGCCTCCTAATTCGTCTCTCACCGCGCTGCTCTGAGCTATCACCCAGCTCAGCCCGAGGCCAAAGCCGCCGAGGGGAGCTGTTTTCTGATGCGCAGGGGCCCTGGCCTTCGCCCCTCACCAGATAGCCGGATTCCAGGCCGTTCACGCCCCCGCGCACTTGGTCATCATTCATGAAGTTAAATACTAAGCTCTGTGTTCTGCCCTGTGGTTTTGCTGGATATTGTTTAGCCGTACTAAGCTGTCACAGAGAAAACCAAATTGACAGTCCATTCTCATGGTTTTTCCTGTTGTTTTTGGTGGCATCTTGTGTTTACTACAGGCAATAAGGATGTTGTTTTGGAAACACTTATTGTACTGAAGCACTAAGAAAATGCTCTCAGTTTCAATATTAATGTACTACTTTGAGAAACAAAGATAAGCCTAGTATATAACATTTTCTTAAATAGAAATAAAAACTAACCAAATGGTTGAACTCTTGGATGAGGGTTGCAGGAAAGATAATTGCTGTGCCTTATAAGCAATATTAATAATAAACAAAAGAAAATCCAACAGCACAAGCAAACTAAATGAAAAGAGGCAGTTTTTCATCTTTGAAAACAGGCAAAGAACAAATTAACCTGAATTCAGAGGCACTGGAAGGGAGACAAATCTCTTACCTGGATAACTTTTTGATGGGAATGTACCAGCTCTGGTTTTGCGCGTTGGAATGAACGGAAGTCTTCAGCCAGATATCGCTCTATTTGCATAAAGGATAATTATTAGCTAAATATTCCTCAGGGTAGGAATGGGTATTTATGGAATCTTGAGCTTGGTGTTTGGTAGTGTGTTGTCACTTGTATAACTTTGTAAAGCTGGATATATATGTATCGCTAGCTGAGGATTTGAGTTTAAATAATGCATAAGATTATTAATTAACTAGCACTGATCCAAAAATTGTGCTGAGTTCAAGCTAGCACATCTCTGACCTTTGAAGCTGCTTCCCTTCTGAGATTTAATCTGGTTTATGCATCCTCATGTAGCATTAGCTTTTGATTTTACATGTTCAAGGTATATGAATAGAACTTCTGTCTTGATTGAGATTTGTGTCCTTTGCAGGCTGGAGTAGATCCTGTTCTGCTCAATGCATAGGATGGGAGAACTGGACGTCAGAGTTCTTTTTTTACATGTCAGCACATTCAGATCACAATACTTTTTGCTTCTGTGTAAACCAAAGACTTCATAATGTAAGCAGATCAGAAGGACAAAGATAGACTTCATTCTTGTGAGGTATATAAATGACCAAGTTCCCTGTCAGTTATCTTAAATCTTTGTATAAGTGCAGACCTATCCAAGTGATAAATAAACATCCATCTCCCCCCCCTTGACAAAGGTGATAGGTAATGTTTAATGGTTACTAGCAGTGCAGATTAACAGGTTGGGCACAAGGCCATGACCTGTAGGGACTGTATTCAGCTGGCCTACAAGCTGAGGGAAGAGCAGATGTGTCTGTTTCTCAGCCAAGGAAGAACATGAGCTTGTCTAGTGACCTCCTAAAACACGTGTGCCATCTGCTTCAGTACCTAAGTAAACTTTTTCTCCTTTTCAACTCCTGTCCAATATTTAGAATCTCTGCTACTTCTGGTATTTGCAATCTTGGAATTTGCAGAATAATTGGGGTTTGCCCATTTCACAATTTTTTTGACAGAGACCCGTCTGCATTTCTCTCCAACAGCACTTTTCCCAATATCAGGCTCCTAAGAGAAAAGAGGATATTATTCTATCATTATCACTTGGCCCCTTCCATATAAAGTTGGCTATGACTTTGTTTTGCCTCAAGCTAGCCTAAAAATAGCTCTTTTTGAAATCTAAAAGAAAGAAACTTCAAATAATAATTCTGAACTTTTTTTTGGTATAGCACAGTGCCAGTGAGGCTAAATGTATTTGGACAGGACAGTTCCACATAAGAAAAAAATGACAAAATGAAGCAATCTCTCATTCTGTCTGTAGAAATTTTGAAAATTATAGTTTTGACAGAACAGTGTTTTATAATGAACAATTTTGCCTACCATACAAAAGTACTGACAGCAGAATGTTCATTAATGGATTATGCAGATGAGAGTTCATACTCCATTACATGAAGTCAATTATCAGGGTTTCAGTCCAGGAATAATTCAGAGTGAGCTGCTCCTGGCATCCTGGTTGAATTCCACTGACACTAACACTCAGTTCTAAAAGTGCTGTCTTTCCTTGTGAGCTGCTGAGTAGTGAAACAGTGGTAACTGTGGTAACAGTGGCAAAAACAGCCAAAAGAGGTACTACAGCAAGACACGTATCTCTAAGTATAGAGACTACAGTAGAAAAGAATGATGATCACTGAGCATTAATTTTGAGGTGATTTTTGTTTGTATGACTTACTATTTATCTTTATGAACAGATGCACAGTTCAATTGGTTTAAAAACGGTAAAGGGTTAAAAGCAGAATTGAACAAAAGTATTTATGAAATAAATGATGGGAAAACAAAATATATTTGACATTTTGGACACATTTACTTGAGGATTATCAGATGATCTCAGAAAAATTCTTGGCATTGCTATGTACAATTCATATCTAGTAACCTAACAGTTAAAAAAATTAATGCTAAATGAGTCACATATGGACAGTTAATCTCAGAATCATAGTTAAAAGTGTTTGTTTACTGGGTCACGGTCAATAATATAAAATCTTCAAAAGTACATAGTCCAAATGTAATAGCTATGTTTTCCTTCTGTGCAAGTGTTGGAAGTTCAGAAATTCAGTGAATTAAAAAAGCTATTAAGCCTAATGCCTGCATTGTTTAAAATGCTCTCAAGCCTCAAGTACTCTGTAATTTACCTTTATATCATAGCAAGCCGGTGATGTGCCTAAAAACCACACGTTTGGTTGCCTTTTAATAGGAAAGATGGGCACACTGAAAGTAAGCATCCAATCCCTTCCAATCCACTATGCACTGCACTCTACATTCCTTCTCTAGCTGGGGTAAGTGCCTGGTGCAGCTGAAAATGGTGTATATATGCGGAGAGTTGTGCTATTGATTTTTTTGTAATGAAAAAATCTGTAGTTCCTGTTGTACAGTTTCCAGGAGAAACTGAGATATGCAAGATTCAATGCAGGTTTGTATATTCAAAATTGAGGAAGCCTATCATTCAGTATGCAGGCCTCTTTCTATTTCCCACTACAAACACACAGTAAATGGATTAGCACTTACCAAAGGCATAAAGTAGCTACAGTAGTTCCACAACTGTTCTTATCAGCACCCAGTAGCACCGTACCTCAGGATCACAGCTTTCTGTAAGAATAGATTAGAAATTGTATGATGATATAGTGCAGGCCTTTCCAATTGGGTATTGCTGTCATAGTGCTTGCAGTGAGATAATATAAATAAACACTAGCACTTGAAAAATCTTTGTCCTGTAGAGTATAATCACAGATAAAAGATAAACTTTAAGTCATTACATTACAGAAGCTAGTAACCTCTGACTTCTTACTCATCTCTGCTATTCTGTTGTAATACAGCTGGTTACACTGTGTGGAGTTCAAATAGAATTGCAGTCCTGATAAAGCTTTTTACAGTCTTTTTAACTGGGGTTTTCAGGAGTTTTATATATGAACTTCAATTGGACAAAAAAATACTTTTAATGTGTTAAATGAGATTATGAAGTATGTGGAACTGTCCTAACACTTAGTGCTTAGTTGTCAATGGTCACTAATCGAGATTTGTCCTTTGAAAAAGCATTTTTATTGAAATAAATAATGAAGGGGGTCTGGCTGATAAATCTTGTCTATATATAGGAGGAATTTACATGCATCAGCTGACATTGAGTGTAAAATGTCTGGGCTTTCCTGCCTTCTAAGAAAAACTCCTGTTGTTTCATCCCCAGATAGCCAGAACTGTAGCACTAGAGCCTGCCTATTGATGAAGATGAATGTTACTACTGATATTTGTATATCATAGAGGCAGATTTAATGTAGCAAGGTTTGTCTGGACTTTTGAAGCTTGTTCACCCATTCCTTGAAATTTTGTGTAATCTTAACTGGATATTGAAAACCAATTTCTGGGTGCAAAGAAAACAGATGATTTCTTACTTCATTGTGAAGTAAATTTTCATGTTTCATAAACACAGAATGTAATGCATCTTTATATTGAAAGGGGAGATATTTTTTGTATTAGTGGAAGTTTTTCAGGATGGGGAGGAATGGAGGAAAAAGGGTAATACATTAACATGAAGATCATAGAATGTAAGACCTATCCATACTGTATTTAATAATACACCCCTAATCTAAATTGTAATGCCAAACCCAGGTTCAAAATAGTGTTGTCAGATCTGTAGAGTTAGAGACTTTTAAGTTTGTATCTCATATAAAACTATCTATAAATGCAACTAGCTAGTTTTACCTCCTTAATTGTAAGAGGTTTAATATATTCAGGAATGAGGAACAGCCACTGGCATGCCATTTAAAAAGCTGCACTCTCCAGATTGTCTTACAGTGGTTGTTTGTCAGTTCTGAAGTGCTCAGAAACCACTCATCACAAAAATTCTTCAGGATTAAGAACGAGACATGGAAGGTATATTCATTGTGCCTTTTCACCATCAGAAGTTATTAAACACTAGTAAGTTAAAAAATAAACTTGGTATCACTTTGCAAACAAGTGATGTATTCTAGTTAGATATAAAGTGGCCCATGGAAAATCAAGGATTGATAGAGAAAGACACGCCTGAAACTACATCTGATAAGCAAAATAGATCCAGCAGCTGCGGGACTTCATCAGACACTATGTGCTGTCTGTATTTTAGATTGTAAAATAAGTACATCAGCTGAGAAATCTAGCTGCAAACCTTCACACCTTCAGTATTTACCTCCATGTTTATCTTTTCTTAGACTGTTTGTTTGTCCATTTATGTGCTCCTTGGTACACATCTTGACAAGTGGAAAAAAGTTTTCAGAATGGAAAATGTTAAAATATTGGGTAAAAGTAGTACATTGTGCATTAATGCAAAATTTCAGGTCCAGTTACAATATGTACATGACCAAGCAACGTGCTTGCAAGAGCACACTAAGTAAAACACTACTGAATTTGGTTCTTGTTGCATATTTGGCAGCAGGGAGGGCAATAATTCCCTCTCAATGTTATGATTTACACAACAGTAAATAAGCTATTTTCCATGATATAGTGGAAGTCACATACTTTTGGACTGTATTTTCTTGTACAGCTAGCAGGCAAAATAATAGATGGAGCATAAACAGCAAATAAAGATGTGATGATGAAGAGATGATAATAGCAGAGCTGTGAAAGGAAAACAGGAAATCAAGTATGTGCCCTGGAGGCTTATTTCAGAAGGTGCAGTATTGTATGTACTTGAATTAGAATGCTGGATGCATACAGAGAACTATTCTGTTACTGCTTGGGAAGAAAAGTTCAGTGACAGCTTTCCCAAGCAGTGCCAAAAGGAGTTATTTGCTTAAAGTAAGCTAGTTTTAGCATTTGATCATGTTTTCTCCTCCTCGTGCATCTTCAGGTTTCAATATTTATTTAGTCTCCCTGTCACCTCATTTCAAAACTTTTGCTTACAGGTGACTTTATTTGGAGTTTGATCATCAAGGGTAGCATCAAACCATAGTGAACATTTTACTGATTAATCAGTTTCATACATCATACTCAATCAAGAAACATATCCTCTAGAAGTCAGCTCACATACAGTGACTGAACCTCTGAACCTTTCAGTCACTTGCAAATCTTTTTAATTTGTAGTGAAGAATCAGCTGAAAAGCATTTTCTGCTATTTCACCTTATTATTTAATAGCTCCCTTTGCAAATGAAAGTGAATATAGCAAACCTGAACAAGGCATCACAAGGTCTCACAACACTGAATTGTCCATGCCTAGGTGATCTGATAGGCTGTGTTCACACGTGTAGAGAGGTCAGATACTAAAACAGCATATACCTGTGCCTAAATTGTTTATACGGCCTGTTTTCCCTTTTACATCTGGAATTTGTTTTAAAGGGGAAGAGGGGTGTGGGGGGGGAGAAGAGACACAACAGTCTTAACAATATTTTCCGAGGCTAACTCACCTCGGCACAGGAAGCTCTTGGTGCTTTGTCTGCCTCTCTCTTCCCCCCACACACAGCACGCTGACTGCTGAAAGAAGGCTGAGACTATGCTCACAAAAGCAGGCTGAGTAAGAAATGGAAAATCATAGGCTGTGATTAGCATGAGCTTGAAAACATCCATTGTTTGTTTGCAATCCTGTGCCTGTGAATTTCAGCCAGATCACAGCAAGGATTTTTTGAGTTGCTTTGCAAGGTGAAGCTCAAACACTGCTGTTTTCAAAGAGCAGAGATGCTTTTTAAGATGCTGTATAAATCAAAGTCAATTCTATTTTTATGTTTTTAAAAAAATAGAAGGATTCAGCTGAATGCGCAGCTTCGTGGCTGGCTTGTAGAAGAGGCAGTGATTTCCAGTAAATAACAGCTGATGAATTCTCCATTTTTGAAAGGGTTTGTTCCTAAGCTACAGGGATTCATACCCATCCTTCTTTTTGCGCATGTACCAACGCTGGTTGGTTGTGTGGATGGATTAACTGTGACAAGCTGTGACATCAGCAAAGGCTGGATGCTGCCTGGCTCTGTGATTTTGTAATGCATCCTCCCGTTCCTGCTGGGCTGACTCATTCCCGTTATAGGAAGGTGTGCGAAGTGTGGGCCAGCACCGACTGAAGTGTTGGGCATTGTGCTTCTGTGCAGAGGCTGTGCCTTAATTGTAAAGCAGGCAGATTTTCCAACCATGCTTACACTAATCATAGAGCTGAGAAGCAAATGCAGAAAAATATTAATACTTATAAATAGACACAGAAGTGGTAAAATATATGGGTTATATTTAGTGTGGGTGTGGTAGTCTTTGAACTTTGAAGAAGCCTCTGATTTAGGTTTTTAGTCAGCAAGGTGTGTGAAAAGAACAGACTGTGTTTTGCTTGAGGACCACCAGGGAGGGAGAATCAGTGTTCATCAGCCTGAATACTGTCAAGTTATCATGGTTATTTTGGATTATGGAGATTTTGTGAACAGCAGCCAATTTACTTTACCTGTAATGATCATAGGACGCGAGAGTAAGTTGAGCAAGAGCAGGGTAGAACCAGTTCTAGTGTGAATGAGTACTATATTGTTAGCTTCCACTCAATTCAGGAGTGGGAAGTGTTTTTAATAACCCAGGAGTGTACTGATTTCTTAGTTATTAACGATCTTGTACTTAAACCTGAAATACCAGACTAGTAGGGTTTTTGGTTGACACTGACTAGACCTGAGGAAAACTGCTGTGAATTCAGCCTCTGGAAAGGTGAATGTTAATGAGGGCTATTCAGCCCTTTGTATAGTCTGAGGTAACATTTCAGTAGTGCTCGCATTCCCTTAGGATCTGCTTTTAAGGTCCAGAGGTTTCTTAAGTACTCAGCAGAACAAGAAGCTGATGATGACTGTTGGTGGGTTTGGAGCAAACAAAGTCTTTATAGAAACCTGACCTTTAAATTGGCTTCATTTCATTCCTCATAGCTACAAAAGTAATTAGCAAAACTAAGGAGGCAGGATCCTTTTGTGTTGTAAGAGGCATTTTGGAGGGCAACAAGTTTCCCCTCCAAAAAAAAAATAAACTTGCTGACATTTTCTGTCCAGAGCTTTTGACCTTCATCTTGTAGATGCTCTCCCCTTCAGCTTACATGTTTCCTTGACCATTTAACAGCCTGTTCTGGCTAAAAGCAAGACAGGTACTTCTGAAGACCATTCCTTCTGGAATACCTTGTAGCAGCAAGAATTTGAAATGGCATAGATTACTGTTGTTCGTTCCCCCAACAGTTACTGTTGTGGAAACCCTTAGAAGTTTATTGTTTGCTTGCAGTGAACAGCTTGACTTTGGACACTAATGTCCTTTCCAGGGTAGATGGACTCTTGTGTGTTCTGGAGTTTTAGGATCCCTAGAATGGCATCATGGATTCTAGAAAAGTGGTAAGCAATTGCTTGGGACACTATCTACAGACACACCTTATAGTAGTCACTTACTTCAAGAGTTGTTTTCACTTCATTTAGTCTTGAGAGGGGGAATTTAATTATCATGCATATTTACACTCATCAAGAACAACGGTGATGGTGTTACCATTGGTCCACATCCTGGACCTGGGCGGACAAGAGCGTATGATTGCAGTAACCCCCTTACAAGGGTGGGCAAAGATGGTCTGGCACACAGCTAAGGATCTTTATCAGATGAATATGTGGTATGTAATATGATCATTCTCTCATCAGAGGTACTAGATACTGCCATAGCAGGGCGGTTTCTTAGACTGCACTGTTGCTTTTCTAAGATTGTAACACAGAATACCTTCAGTGGAGAAAGGGGTTTTTTAGGTGACTCCTTCATGGAGTCCACTTTCCAGGTGTGAGGTTGGCCAATAGTCTGCTGAGAAATTTTACAGGTGTAAGTTGCATCTTTCCTCTGCTAACGCCTTGTGCCAATTTTCTGCTTCTTGACTACATTTGCAACTGAGCAGTCTTTCCAAGTAGAAGCTCCCAGTGAGGATGTCAGCAGGCCATGCTGCTGTGGGAGTGGTGTTAGCCAGCCACTATGGCCAATCTGCCCAAAGGGAGGCTGTTCTCAGATGCTTATGAAAGTAAGCCAGATTATGTCAGCTTTTGGTGTGTGTTTGGTAGCTGTGTTTGCCAGAAACACAAAAGGGAGACCACACTTAGCTGAATGAGAATGTCAGGGCGAGGATGAGTGCTATTCTAGTATACTGGTATTTCCCAGCCATCCTTAATCCCAGGCTCTCTTTAACAGAGTATCTCTGTTGATGTTTACCCTACATGGTACATTTTTATTCCTAAATGGGCTGTGACCTTCTGACAGGAGTCAGCCACAAGGTTTCCTATCCCAGGAGATTTAATTCAGTACATTAAAATAAAGTCTGATAAAGTTAGCTTGACATGTCATCAGAGATTCAGTACTTGACTGAAGATCACCTGGAATGGAAACGCTCCCTGCCTGTGGTTTTTGTTCTCTCTTTTCTGTAGATAAGGTATTTGGTCCAATATCTGTGTGTGCACATATTTTCCAGGGCATGCAACTATATTCCTGGACAGGATCAATGCAGGCCAGAAGAGAAGCAACAGATGCTGGACACGGAAGGGAAGCAATAGCTGTAGGCTAACGAGTTGTATCTGAAGCTGTGCTAGCTGTAGCAGATCTGACTTTAATGCAGGGAGTTGACAGCTAGAGCTGTCTTACCTCTGCCTTCCCAAGAGATTAAGTTTGTGAATGAGAGTAGGCTAAAAGTGGCATAGATAAGAAGCGCAGTGTATCTTAAAACACTTGCAAGCTGTCCAGTGCTACCTATGCATCAGAAAAGAATTTCCCTCCATACTTGAAAAAACATTTCAGTAATAAGATGTAGTGGAAAGACGTTAAGATAGGCCTGCAGCCTTTCATTCAGCAAAGAATTGCCCATGAAGCAGACCTTTCCAAGGAAGGGAGCAACCAGATTTTGTGACAGCCAGCAGACACCCCTCTGTACTCATCACTGCTCTTCATATTTACAGCGTGATTGTTGCTGCCAAGAGACAGCATGTGGGTCTGGAATGGAGACCATGATACAGACTGGAAAGGTTCCTCACCAGCAGGACACTATATTCCAGTCTCTGGAATATAGAAGCCTCAGGCCTGGTACTTCTATGAGCGTTGGTACCAGGATGCCAGTAAATGTGCTTTAGTGTAGTTGTTTATGATGACTGAAGATGAGGAAGGTCTATCTGGCAAGCTTCCTGGAAAAATCCCAGCTGAGAAACAGTTGAAAGCCAGGCACAGACAGGACAGTGATTGCTGCTTGACATTGAAAATACCTGACAGCAGACAATGACCAATCACAGTCTTGCAAGCACTCAGAAGAGATGATGAGTACATGACCTTCTGAGTGCTTGTAAATGAAGGCAGTTGTGTCTAGAAGCCATGACAGAAAGATTGGAAGAGAAGGCAAGAAATAGATCGTGAAATTCTGTGAGCTTACAACCAAGAGCCCAATCATAGGTACATGATGCTACACCAACAGTTTAGATGTAGAAAGATGCTTTGAACAGCTTTGGCCATGGATTTATCCTCCGCCACGGATTAATTCTCGACCACAGATTTACCTTGTCATGTGCCTGTAACAGTTTTGATCTGTTCTTCAGTGTCCTAAAATTGTCTTCAGAGCACTCGTGGCAAGGGCCTGGCAGCTGAGCCAATCTTGTCCATGCAGAACATTTGTAAATAGTACCAGTTCCTGTGCTTCCAAGTGCAACAGTCAGCATGGCTTCCAGTCACTACATGCAGGCAACCCTGCAAGCCAGATTCTAGTAGTACTGTGTGTGCTGTAAAAAAATGCATCGATCTCACATCAGGAATGTAGTACAAGTAAGGGTAAGGTCAAAATCTGAGCAAGTGTCAATCCTGTCAGTCAAGTAATCATTTTATTAATGGCATCATATTGTCTGGTTCACTTGGTAGGAAGAAGAGATCCTTATAAAGTGGCAGATCAGCCAAAGAACCTAAGAGGTGCCTCTACACCTACATGCATAACAAAAGATCTTGTGTACCATCTCTCAGTCATGTTTGGCAATGGCATTCTGTTTTAAATGGTGCAATTGGAAAACTGTAAATGTCCTGGGATCTTAAGTGTACAGGCATCAAATAGAAGGTTTTATTTATGGTTATATTTTATATGCTTATTTATGATTCTATTTTCAAATAGTACTGTGTAGACCTTAAACTGAAGCCAGGAAGACCCTATTTTGTTTGCTTTTATCTGTATGGCATTATTAACTTTTAACAAGACAGTGTAGTTAATAATTCTTATGCATACTGACTGTAAGTGTGCATGTAAGCAAATTATTCAATAGAACACAGGGTACAGCTGGAAATAGTTAATGGATCTGAGGGAGCAGAGCTAGTTTTAGCAAAAAAAAAGTCTTTGAACTTTGGAAGAGGACTTTTTTTAAAAACTTCTGTCTAAGCAAAAAAAAAACCCAGCTTCCAAATGGCCGTTCTTTAGTTCAACAGTGACTTTTAAAATACTTCAAAGAATGCTAAAGCAAATAAATTTCTTTCTACTATTTGCTTCTTTTACAGCTGTGCCATTTGACTTGGGCAGGAACCCTAAGCCCATCAGTGACTGCCTACATGGCAGTTTTTGTCATGGGGGTGGGACATACTTTTAAAAGAAAAAATCTACTTCAGATTTTTGGTAAAAGAGTGTGACCAGGCTGGGGCTAAGATTTTGTGCCATATTACATAACATGTGGAGCTGGCTTAGTGGATATGGTCTATGTTACACTTACTTTCTCTGCTTTGTCTTCCTCTTCTAGATCCTGGTAAGAGATTTGTCTTCATATTGCGCAGTTCCCTTAATTATCCACTAGGCAATTCTGTCAGCCCTTCTTAATTCTCTGAGAATTTGGAACTGCATTTACATATTCACTAAAACCTTTCCTTGACAAGAAAGCACAGAGAAAGAGCTTCCATCAAAGAGGCTCAGGAGAAGTACAGAAAGCATTGAGAAGTACAGAAAGAAGCAAGTTGTCACTGAGCACAGAGCCCAGCACTGATTTAAGAGCTCTGCTGATGGCCTTCTCCTCATGTGTAATCCCATTTGCTTATCATGCTATGCTAGCACTGATCACTTGCAAGAAATGTGATTGTCTCTCCCCCTTCCATCATACCAGCAGCATTGCATCTATGGTTCACTTGTATAGCTTTCCACCCAAGCAAAGGCAAAGTGCCTAGGAAAGTGCTGGAAAGACTTTAGGAGAGGTGGTTAGGCTGCACTGTACCACAGAAATTAGTTGTAGTGCCTTGGCATGGTTGGAGAAATCAGCTTTGAGAGGGGTTGCCAAGGCTTCACTCAGTGCTGCTGTGTGACCAGGGCTGGATTTATGTCAAGGGTGCTTAAAAAGCCTTTTGCTCAGGTTGTACTGAGGCCAGAATTTGGCCACCAGGCCAAGGCTGTTTCTTAGGCCAAACAGCAGTAAGTCACTCTAACAGAAAGTCCTCAACAGAAGTTCATTGTTAATTCTTATTTGGCACTTCATACTGGCAAAAATTCTCCATCCCTTTCAGATTTCAGTTAAATCAGGCCATAAGTTCAGAAATTGTGGAAAATTGACCTGCATAGTACCTTGTATTTGTTTCTACTGGACGCCAGGCAAGAAAAGCCCTTCAGGAATTTAAAGCAAATCTTCTAGTTTATCACATATAAATTGCAAATGCCATTTTTCATCCCCTGGTCCAGTGTTCCCGTCCAAAATGTGCATGTCCACATTTTGGTACCTGTGTTCCTGCAAGATTCCTTGACACAAAGGAATGCATCATAGGGTGCTGAGTCTTTGAATGCATTTATTCAAACCTGGATGAAAGATTTGCAGCCCAAGATCCTGGGAGTACAGGAGAAATATTAAGCAAATGCTTACAATGAGGTAAAAATTACAGACATCTTGTGCATAAATTCAGCATTCTTTGAAAGATGCAAAGTTATTTTTCATCTGGACCTAAATCCATAAGGAGTGCTACTAAGTAATCTATATTATATACTGCAGATTAGGAGTACCTTAAGACAGACTGCATATGAGGCTGTGTGAAAAGAGCTGGCCTAGCAGTGGGTAATCCAATGGAAACTGATGTAAAATTTGCTTCAGCAGAGAGTTAAAAATCTAATATTCTTTGAAAAAACATAATTCAGCAAGCAGACCTGTATATTATATTGTTTCTATTGCTGCTGAAATAGGTAAAGGGCATGGATTAGTCAAGAGACATGCTTATGGTGAACACCTGTGATCACTTTAGAGGAAGGAAGTTTGTGTACAATTCCAAGAACCCCAGTCTTACGCAGATTTTGAGAAGAAAGCCATCTGACTCATTATCTACTTATCTAAGTCCTATCTTTGCTATAATATTTACACTTGTGTTTTTTATTGCCTTTTTTCTTCAGAGTGGTGAATGGCAAACTTAACTACAATTTTACTGCCTTGGATAAACTTATGGACCGGCTGTGGGAAAATAAGTTGATTCCAGGTAAGGGCAGTTCCCTGCCTGCACAGCTTGGTATATCTGTTCATCCACATTGAACAATCATTAGAATATTCTTAGAAAGCTTTTCCAAAGCTGGTTTTGATAAAAGATTTCATTGTTTACCTATTTGCTTTTACATCATGTCCCAGTGTGAGCAAAATGATATTATAGCATTAAAACAATAAAATTGGTTTTACATTGCCTTTGAAGGCAGTTTCAGATGGTTGTACTTGTAAATGAGATCTCATGAAGAGAATATTGTACCCATTGACATATACCTAAAAGGGCCAGAGAAGCAGATACTCTGGGTATAACTTCCCATAAATTTATGCAAACGTCCACTGTTTTAAGTTTCCTCTGAGCCCTGCATTTATGTTGACAGCTAATAGCTTTGACTATAGTCACTGACAAGTTACAAGTAAACAACCTCAAATCTGAAATATTTCTGGTGGGAATATGTGGAAACAAAAGAGAAACCATTTAATGATGCTTCTTCATTAACAAGTTTGTTTCAGATGATGTGCTAACCCTTCATTAATAAAAATGAGATAGCGTTCACAAAAAAAGGAGACCTATTTCTTATGTCTCTTTTAGGATTTGAATTGATGGGAAATCCATCAGGATATTTTTTAGATTTTGAAGATAAAGAACATGTGGTACAGTGGAGAAACTTAATTACTGTTCTGGCAAGGAGATACATAGGTAAGTTAAAGAAAGAAAAGTGTTGTTATTTGTTCTGTTGTAGTCCTTTCTAGCTGCTTCAGAAAGTTCTGTGTTGTAATCAATTTCAAGACCCAGGATTTCAACACAAAACCAGAAAACAAACATGCCATGGAGACCATGGAATAATAGTCTCTCTTTTTACTGATCCTTGGCCAACATCCGGAATGAATAGTGTTCTGGGTAGTGCATTTGGCCTGCCTCAAAGGACTGATCTTTAACCTTGTTATATTGTTGTGATTGTAAAATACCAGCTTTCACTGGAGCATGATAACCTGAACACTTCTCATATGCCAGCTTCAAATATTTCTAACAAGGCAGAAGGCTCAACCTGAATTAAGAGTAGGTGGGTGCCCTTACAAAGCTGTAAGTCTCCCTCTCACCTTGCATATTTTTCAAATATTGCTGCATTTCATCAAAAATGAGAGATTATTTTGAAACTCACAAATTACATTTACCTCATTATTAAAAATAATGAGGGAAATGATCTACTGATAGGTCTGGGTCCTGAGCCTCACCTGCAGCCTGAACTAATAGTATTGTCTTTGTAAGTCATTTATTGATAGTATTGTCTGGATATGCAGCTCACTGATAAATGAGGCCTCTCCTACAGATAGGTATGGATTGGAGCATGTTGCTAAATGGAATTTTGAGACCTGGAATGAACCAGACCACCATGACTTTGACAATGTGTCTATGACAGTAAAAGGTGAGCATGTTTTGGAGCATTTCTGAGTGTGGTGAAGTGAGACAGGTGTATGGGGTGAGCAGAGGGGTGACAGTGAGATGTAAGGTGTACTGACAAAGAAGTAAGGTAGACAGCAGTGATAAGGAATGTGACAGATACATCAAATCTGTTTTGCTAAGGTCATATTACTGGTCACACTTTATTCCCTACTTGGGTATCAAGGGTTGTGACACAGAAAAAACAAAACAGGAGTTACATTAAGAAGAAGCAGTTCATTAGTTGTATATAAAGTACAGTTAGTAGCACTAAGGGGGAGAAGGGTGGAATAAGAGGAAAACTCCTCACTGAAGCTGTGTGCTTTGGGAACATGCTCCTACAAGACCTTCAGAAGAACGTTGCAGAGGCAGGTGAAGTTTTGATGTCTTCTTGTGTTGTCAGTGCATAGGAAATGGTAGTCCCAATTTGTGAAGCCTTACAAATACATAAAATAACAAGGTTATAACATCTCCTTGTAGTTTTAGATCCAGTTTCTGTTTTGAGTTATCATCTTTGATATATTCATCTGCTTGGATTTCAGGGTTTCTCAACTATTATGATGCTTGTTCAGAAGGATTAAGAGCAGCCAGTCCTTTTCTAAAATTTGGAGGGCCTGGGGATTCCTTCCATCCCTTACCAAAGTCACCCATGTGCTGGAGTCTTCTGTGTCATTGCTACAATGGGACCAACTTCTTCACAGGGGAGACTGGTGTAAGGCTGGATTACATCTCTCTCCATAAGAAGGTTAGTCCAAGATTTCAGTTTAAAGCCATTTTTTTCAATCAGTTTAATCAAAGTTATGTTTTATTCTGATTTACAAAGTTGATGACGATGATGAGTGTCCAGCCTATAGCAGGAAGCACGGCTACCTATTCTTGCAAAATTTTGAAGGTGTTCAGTTGCAAGACTTTAACTCAAAGCAAATTTGTCTTTGCCCAATTCCCAAAGGAAAACAATTCCTCTACTTCTTTTCCATTTTATATTCTAGGAGGAGCTCATGCATGTAGCATGTGCTGTAGTAGATGAAGGAAAAGTACTAGTTTTGTTGGTCCACTTCAGCTTGGTGACGAAGAAGTATGTTTTATGTTTATGACTTTAGGTTATGTCTGTATGTTTACTACCTTTTTCTCATTACCACTAAGTACATATGAAATATTGTTGCAGGGAGGTGGGAATTCTCTCTACATCTTGCAACAAGAAGTAGAAGCAGTTCAACAAATTCAGAAGCTGTTTCCAGGTTTTTCTTCTGTTGCAATATATAATGATGAAGCAGATCCAATGGTTGGATGGTCCATTCCACAGCTCTGGCGAGCTGATGTGACGTATGCAGCGATGGTTGTAAAGGTAACAATTCATTGGTAGTTTTGGCACAGTTGTGTCCCATGATGTGTTTTTGCAGTTGAAAAAGTAGACTTAACAATTAATTTTTAAGCAGTTACTCAGACTAATAGATCCTATAAAAGGAGACCTCCCTAGTGGTACAGTCGGGGTTTCCCTGAGTAGTGTAGTTTTAGTAGCTTGATTTAATTTGTAAATTTAATTTAACTTTAGTTTTCTTCATCTTTTTTTTAAAAAAAAAAAAAGTCCAACCCAGAACCAAACTGAGAACTTCACAGAGAAGTGCTAGAGAACTGAGAATGTATACAGTCTCCCAGTTAGATCCATCTGATAAGATCACTCTCACACATGCCCTCTCCATGTAATACTGCTGCTGTGGTGTCTATACTGCTGGCTGTCACCTCTATATGTAAGAATTATTTCCCAGCTCCTTCAGAATTTTATCTCATCAAGAGACATCAGGTATAATAAAGAAGTGCCTTGAGGTCTCAGCATAGTCCATTCTTTGGTTTGGGATACTGGCTGTACACATGATCTTATTAATTACTGCTAGTAATTACTGATGTTGGCCAGAAAAGCAGAAGAAGAGAGTGATCAACATTCCCAGCTCTGCAGTAATTGCACCTTGGCCCCAGAGCAAGCTCAGCCCTTCACCTGCAAAGCAATAATTTCTACTGCAGACCGAGTGCTTTGTGAGCCACTACCTTAAACAGCACATAGAGTCCAAGTGCTCCTGTGCAAAGGAATAATTCCCAAATGCGAGAGTATGTATGTCACCCAGAAAAAAAGATGCATCTTATTAGCTGCTCCTGAGGAGACAAAGGCTCCCAGTTCCCTGAGACTGCATATACAAGCTGTCTTTGCTAAGGCAACAAGTCATTGACTGCATCGCAGGCAATTTGCAGGACAAAGTAGCAGTGTTTATAATGATGTGGTGATATGAAGGGCAAAAGAAAGACACATCCAGTGGAAAATTAACACTTGGTTGTATAGAAGATGGAAGCACTGTGTTTCTTCAGAGGCACAGTTGTGAGACTATCCAGTTGCCAGCCTTCTGACTTAATTCTTAAGTTCTGCTTAATTCTTATATTCAGGCACAATCTAATATGCTGAGAACTTGGGAACTTGGATGTTTTTTGGGAGAGCAGCACAGCAACCAGTGAAATACCAGGAGAATTAATTCCAAGTTAGCACCAAGTGGGAAAAATGACTAATTGAAAAACAGAATCCAGGACCAGCTCACAGACACTGATGTAGTGGGTACAAAGTAACTTCAGATTTGGAGAACTATTTAGATTTAATTCAGATGGTAAATTCTGATTGCTAATTAAGTATTCAAGACAGAGGGGCATAATTTGTAGTGCAATAGACAAGGAGATGTGTTCATTATCTGTGAAGAGTTCTATTATTAATTATTTCAGAGACTTACTACTTGCAAAACTACGCAGGTGCTTCATATTTTACAGTGATTAGTATAGTACCTAAAGTGCAGGTTTTCCAAGACTTATGATAAACAGTTATTTTCTTCAGTCTTTTCTAAAAGGCAGAGGGACAGTTCTTTGCAGAGTTCTGTAAAGATTTTAAAAAAAATACAAGGACTACTGCATGTTTATTAGTTTTTCTCCAAGGTGAAGGTTCGCTTTCTCTATGACTTTGCAGGTAATCATCCAGCACCAAAACCTGCTCATTTCCAAAGCCAACAACACCATCAACTACTCGTTGCTCAGTAATGACAATGCCTTCTTGAGCTACTACCCTCATTACTTCACCCAGCGGACTCTGACAGCACGTTTTCAGATGAACAACACAAAGCCACCTCATGTCCAGATGGTGCGGAAACCAGTGCTGACTGCCATGGGCTTGCTGGCACTGCTAGGTATAGTAAAGAGCATGTCAATAACCCCTCCCACCTAGAAGTCTCCAGCCTAAGAAAGATAGTTCCAGCCGTCTTGCTATTCATAAAAGCAAGAGCTCCCCTCACTGTTTACTAGCTGTGTTAAGAAAATGAAACTTCATTTCCTCAGACAGATTGATAGCTCAGAAAATATTTCTGAGAGTCTGTTACCTGTTTGATTTAACTTACTGCTTTGTTTATATCCTCTGTGTGCCAACCACTCACTTTTTGTTGATTGGTACTTCCCGCTTGTGATGCAAGGGGTACGCACCATCAGGCTGCAACTGTCTTTAAGAAATCCCTGTAGCTGGAAGATTCTTGCAGCATGTTACAGGGAGAACTTCATTCACTGTCACCTGTTTACATGTTGTTAGCTAAAATGCTAAGCATAAGAACTGCTGTAATATGTATTTCACAACACTCTACTGTTGTGAAATAAATCTGACTGAAGACTGTAACTGGTAAAATAAGGCAGAACATAGCTCACTTATGCTCAGTCTATTTGCATGCTTTGACCCTGCAGTTTCTGACACAGGACTGACTAACAGTGATGCTAACAGTTGTCACGTTTTTTAAAGGAGAAGAGCAGATTTTTGCTGAAGTGAAGATCAGTGGAGATGAAAGCGCTCAAAATAGCACAGTTGGAGTGCTGGCATCTGTGCACACCCCAAGTGAGACACAGCCCTCAGATAGCTGGCAAGCTACAGTACTGATGTATTCAAGTGAGGATAACAGGACTTCATCTAACATCAGCACGGTCACAGTGAATGCCACCCACTTCCCCAAACATAGAGGTAAACAAATACCATGTAGACAGCTCGTATTGAGTGATCTTTAACAGGGAATATGAGCTGGAAGACTTCTACTGAACTGCCTTTCATTGGAAGAGTGAATTTAATTTTCTAGCTTCCTCTGTCATCTTTTGTGCACTCCTAGATTTTCTGAGATATAATGGTGCCCTTCTTTGAAAGGTTCATTCCTAATGCCTACACTTTGATCCCATCTTTAATAGCAGCTGCCAAGTGCTGCCTTTCTGGAAAACTACCGATCTCAGTGTACTTGGCTGGATATTGCCAAGTAACAATTCCCTTTATGAGATGACTCCAAGACAGCCAACACGAACACACAATTGCACAGCTGATTGAGTTACCCAGCAAATGCATGCAAAAAGAGAATTTGGTTCTGGTTGTGGAAGTAATAGTTTGAAAGGTAAACTTGGCAAATGTAAATTGTACAGCCTCATGAGAGTCCTAGCTGTGGGACTTCCCAGTGGAAGTTAGGCTCCAAAGTGCTGAAATCAGTTTTGAAAAGGTAGACTTACACACCTGCTAAATATATTCTTGTTAATCTTTAAATCCAAGTAAAGAGTTTACTTCTTTGGTTTGTCTCATCTCCTACAGAGATGGTATATGTGACATATTACATGGATAACAACGAAACCAATCCCTATCTGAAGTGGAAGAACCTAGGAAGCCCTGACTTTCCTTCTCCAGAGCAGTTCCAGCAAATAAGGGATGCTGAGGTATGATTATGTGTTTGCTTGAAGTGTTGTACGAGTAAAGTGCTTGTGAAAAATACAACAAATCAGGCCTCTAACAAAAATTTCCTTAGCCCACAGTCATTCACTTTTTATATACACACAAAAATTCACTTGCAGTCCTGCAGAAAAGTGTAGCTCACATACAGCTTATGCCTTGGTGTTTGTGTTATACAACCTCTTCACTCTGGGCCTAACCATAAAATAAGGAGGCACAGTTGCTCCTGGGGAAGTTCTGCCTTCTCTCTGAATATTCAGTGGGCTTTGAGGCTCTTTCTGTTCCATCTGCTCAGGTAAGTCACATGGCCCTGTGTATATGACAGAATGGCCAAATTGCTGCATTAGAAGGTTGAAATGAACCCCATAAATAGTAGAAAACAAACACCTCCCTGGGGTGAAAACTGCCCAGTGCAACTTCAGAAAACTGAGGGGCTCACATGGAGATTGACAGTTTTCCCTCATCCTCACTAGTGCTGAATGCACCATAGAGATAATTGAGTCAGTCTTCTCTGAGAAGTCCTCTCCTCCCTATGGATGAAAGCCATGCAGAGATTACTTACTGTATGTGAGCATATGAGAGCAGCCTGTCGCTTCAGCTCCCCCTCCCATAGTTTCCCCAATGCATTCAGATTCCCAGGTTAAAAACAGAGGTCATCTTCATCCCCTTCAGGGCCCACAGACAGTACTCACTTTCTGACTTCAGTACAGAGTACTGTGTCTTCTCTTCCCAGTCACCACAACTGACTATTGCTAAGGCCTGTGGGACATTGTAGGAGACATCAGCTCTTCCTTAAAAAGGGCAGCAGCAAGATTGTACATACTCTTGGCTGTCTGGTACAGCCTCATCCCCAGAGACCAGCCATGTAGCTGTTGTAGCTAGCAGTAGCTTGTTCTGCACACTGGGAAGAGATGGGGCCATGGCTTGTAAAGACCTCCAGCCTGAAAGGCATCCGTGGGAGGTTACAGAAGTGACAGAATGTGCCTAAGGGCATTTGTGGTCAACCCAACTTGTGAGCTGGGCAAACCCTTTGTTTCCTGAGGAGCTGGAAAACAAGTTCTCTGAGTGTGGAGAACTTTGATGCCTGTAAGCATTAGCTGTACCAACTCTATTGGAAATTTAGAGTCCTAAAGTTAATACACAAGCACTTTACACTGGTTTAACAGTTGGTCTTTAGGTGCTGTAATGAAAGACTTTTCACAACACTACTCTTTGGCTCCGCAGGACCCACTGGTAACAGATCCATTTCCATTTCCTGAAGCTGGCATCCTGACACTGAAGCAAGACTTTCCCGTTCCCTCAGTCTTTCTTATCCACATCTGTGCAAGACCCAGATCAGCTCCTGATCAAGTATGTGTTGTATTCTACCATTAGACACATCAAAACTGAAACTGCTTCCTGCCTTAAATCTTAGAAGAAGACCTTCAAATTACTTTATTGTTAAAAGTGTAAGAATTAGTAAATAAAAAATTCTTCTCTCTTTTGATGAGAAGGCTCTCAAAGATGTAATTCAAGATAAAGTACTACATAGCAAGTGATAGGAGCCATCACTAAGATGAATGAAAATTCCCATGGTGAGAAATTATTGAAACAGTACTGAAAAGTGCAGTATCTCTTTAAAAATCACATAGTATGCTACAAGGATTGACAAGTTAATTGAGAGCTAAAGCTAAAATGGAATCATGGCCTCCATATTAGACATCTGTTTCTGCTCATTCAGTCTCACCCATGTTCATAGTGGTACCCAGAGCCTCTGATGGTCCTCTGCAGGGTTGACGAGTGGGAGACATGGACTGCAAAAAGCTACAGAGCAAAGAATTTTGTTTTTACACCTGATCTCAATGGAAAAAAATCAAAGCAAATAATTAGTATGGAAGGATGAACACAGAAATTTGACCTGGCTGATTGGTTTGTACAGTTTTTTTACATGGGCTTCTGTCTTTGGACAGGTGACTGGTGTTCATTTGATCCCTCTCACAAAGGGGCAGGTCACTGTGCTGTGGGATGACGACTATGTTAAGTCAAAGTAAGTGGCTTTCAAATAAAATTGATACAAATGAGTTACCAACATACTAGTCCCTAACTTTCCACAAGCTCTACAGAGTAAAACAAGGTCAAAAATTAATGAATTGTTGCTCCTTGATAGATGATACAGTGCATTTGTCTGAAAAGTGAACTGTAGGACCTGTGTGCACAAACTGTGAAAAGCAACCCTGCCTAATCTGTGGCCTGATCAAAGGAATCTGCCTGTTGGTCACCAGCATTCAGTGGCTTTTCTGAGGGGATTCTATTCAGCATAGCAGACAGGAAGATTCATGGTAGAGGTTACATTATCAGCAGATGCCTAAGTGGGATCTTAGACATCTCTGTAAGGGATGTGAACTGGAAGAGAAAACCTCCAGTTGCTTTCTTCAGCAGGCTCAACTCAACTGGAAACCCTCTATATGTGAACTGTGAAAGGTGATCCAGTGTACAAATAGATTACCTCAGGAAGATGAAAGGACTTAGGTCCTTTTCAAGCCAGTCTCCCTAGATTCTTCATTCTTGATAACCCTGGTGTCTGAGTGAAAGATGCGTGACATTTTGTGATGCTGCATATACCCAAAGCAGCAAGTCAGTCTAGGTGTTTTTCTGAGGCTGTTGGAGCCCTGGTTCTTCCTAATAGTGCCAATTCATTCCATCCTACATTTAGTAGGAATGAATCAACTGAACATTTCTTATTTTTGTCCTTCTTGTTGAAATAGCCCTGATTTTTCATAGTATTTGAGAATTCATGTATTGTCAGTTGTAATTACAAACCTCTCTGGTTCTCTTTTCTAGGTGTATAAAGACATTTGAAGTGGAATTCTCATCAGATGGAAAAGTGTACCAGCGGATTAATGCCAAAGACACAATATTCACTCTCTGGGTCTACAGTCCAGGTATGGCAAGAATACTCACATTAAGTAATCTGTCATGTGATATTGCCACTCATGAGTTTGTGAACCATTGTTTAGTAACTACTGAAGGTAGGTAACTTGCAAGTAACACACAGTCCCTCACAGATGAGAGCGCATCCCCTCCTTTAGGATTGTATTCTCAGTAAGAGACTTATTTTCAAGGACAAACAGAGATCAACAAGTAGTCGTGAGGACATTATTAGTGGTATGTCATGGATAATTCCTTGTCACAAAAGCCAGTCATTGAGCCGCAGGCCTGGCAAGGTCCCTGAAAAGTTAAGTAACAATTTGTAGCTGGTGTAAAAATACGCAAAATGATAACAAAACACCCCACAAAAAACCATGACCAGACCTTGCAATAGAAGTTTACTCAGATGAAACATCCAAGTGAAGGAAGATACTGATGTTTTATTTGGGTATTTTTTTGTTTATCTGAAGGTAGAGGGTGGTGATTGTTGGTTTTTTGTTTGTTTTGTTTTTTAATTTTTTAAGCAAATGCTGTCTAGTCTGCAACATGACCATCCAACAAATATTGATGATAAGCACTGATGAGAGCTGAGTGAACCACAGACAAACCTTGCCTTATAGTGATACTATTAAAAAGCAGTTGAGAGATGTTTTTACCAGAAACAAGGGCTTATCTTACCCTGAGAAAGCCTTAACATCAGCAGTGATGGCATAATAAAAGTTCAGAGCTATTTATGCAATCTTAGGCAAGCAAAGACTTTAAATCTTGGCTATGACAAATCTCTGAAGTTATTATTCATTATTATACTATAATATTATATACCAGTTTTAATAGTTTGTTTCAAAACAAACAGCAACAGAAAAGACTACTTGAAAAAATATCATGTGTCAGTAGTCCTTATTGCTAGGAACTTCCTCCTCACCCATTATTTCTGGCATTCTTTTTTTCCTAAAATAAAAACACTAAAACATATATAAAAATCAATTAATTAGATAAAATACCCCCAAATTTATATTACTTGTGTGTTCAAAGATTCTGCTGGGGAAAGCTGTATTCTTTGAACTGGATCGAGGATAAAAAGCAGCAAAACAGAAGATCAGTTCACATACCTTTAAAGTAAGTGGTGCTGCTTCCTGAGTAGAGCAGAGGGTTTTCAGTCAGCCAGCGTGCTTCTTGTTCTTCTTCTTTTTTGAAACTGTCCCCACATAACCTGTTCCAAAGGCAAAATTCAGGCAGAAAAGTAAGTTGGAAAAAAAGAAAATTAGTAATTGTGTGCTGCAGATGTCACAGCCTCCTTCCAAAGGAGCTGCTGGGATAGCAGTCCTGTAGCTGTACTTGCTAATCCTAGTAAGTAGAGAGGACATCCTTGGTGAATCAAGATAAAAAAGTCAGTACTTGGCCACAAGGAATTTGTTATCATTTTTAATCAGACAGACACAGACACACTTTTGTAGGATGCAGAACTGATTTCCCCAGCCTGTTCCATGAACCTACATTTTACAGGAGTTGTGCCTGCTTCACATCCTCCGAGTCCCACAGGTGCCAGCGTTTCCCAGTGACCATTTCTAACCTTTTCATTTGCAGGAAGCTCAGTCTCCGGCTTTTACAGAGTGCGTGCCGTTGACTACTGGGGGAAGGCAGGCCTGCCCTCTCTTCCCGTGGGGTACATTGAAGCTTTCAAGTGACGCTGAAGAGTGGTGCCTGGCTTGGTGTCAGAGTGGTGTATGTTCCTTGCTAATGACAACTTCCCAGAAAAATAAACTCCTCCCAGGCTGAGGAGGGTGTATGGTAACGACCTGATGAAGTTAGGAACACAAGTTAGAAGCAATTGCCCCTGTTAACTCTTCACAGCACAAAAGACAGCATTATCAAACAACTGCAACTGCAACTGGTAAGAGGCTACAGTAGGACAGGGATTCAGCCTGGATAACTAGGAATTATGGGAATACATATTTATTATTCCCCCTTTTTCATTGAGCTAACAGTCAGGGCAAGCTAAGATTTTTAGAGGTCACAAACTGTAGCAGGAACAGAACCCTGGCTTCACTGTGTGGGTGAGGATGGTAGCAAGAACAGAACCCTGGCTTCACTGTGTGGGTGAGGATGGTAGCAAAGGCACATGGAGGACCTGTCTGAGAGTGACTGCCTGAGCTGCTAGCCAGTCTTGACTTAATGGTTTGATGGAAAAGTGCACAGTGACAAGAGCATGCACATTCAGAGCATGAAGTAAAGGATCCCTTAGTTCCTTTGGCTGGTTAGTCACAGTGGGTTATTTCAGAATGCTTGCCACCTCTTCAGGTGTATGAGGTTTTTCACTCTCTCACAAAGGTGTTTCCACCCATCTCTCTCTGTATTTGTGGCCATTTCATGGGTGCCAGAGCTGTTTCCTGTAGGCAGAGGCAGGGGTGTCAGCTCATTCTCAGAGGGGAGAAGGTACAGAAAGCCCTAGCCTCCTGCCTTTTCTCCTTTGTGCTTTTGTCCAAGTAACCTGTTTGCACTTTGGCCACCAGCTGATGCCCGTTTGTGGTCGAGGCTCTAAGCCTGAAAGTCCCTCTATCTCTCTATTGCTGTTGCCTAGCCTGGTGTCCTTCAGCCCTTACAGCTAACACCTCCCCTCACAGACTGTAAGTGGTCACTCAGCTCTGCATAGCCAGGAGCAAGCTGAAACACTAGTTAGAGCCTTTGTGTCTTTGTATGACAGGACAGCACACTCTTGAATGTAGCAGGGCTACTACTTTAGGACACTTAGGAAATTAACAAAGAACAGTTTGAGCTCCTGTGCTTTGCAAAGCTTGTGCATGAGCATGTGACAGCCCAAGATCACGGGCTGCAGATCACCACTGGCTGTGCTTGCAGGTGCCAAACACTTTATGTAAACAGCAAAGTTCCCTGAAATTGCAGGGGTGCTGCTTTATTCTTCTCTTTTCACAACTGGCACAGTTTGAGCTGTGCCTTTAACAGGCTTGCAGAGAGAAGGATAATGCCAGTGAAAACAGCTGGAGTGTTTTCCATAAGAGGAGTGCCTTTGTCACACAAACAAATCCCCTACTGCTCTCTTTGCTGACATCAGCCACCTCACCAACATAACAACAAAAACTGCATATTTGATGAAACATTCAGGTCTCAGAAAAAGAGAAGTGCCCAAGTTTGCACAGTAGGAGAGAGCTGAACTACCTCAAATACCCTCAACTCTTACAGCACAGAAAAGAAACATGCAAAAAGTCAGTGCATGTGAAAGTGGCCTTGTATCTCCTTACTTGCTGATTATTTGTTCAAGTGCTTTTATTGAAAATTAGCTTTAAAAGACTTACTCTGTCACAGAATTCAGATGAAATATTTCTTGCCTCATTTGAGTTTTAATAAGGGGCACTTATTGCATCCTAGTCCTCCAATTCCTTGTCCGTACAGGCAGAACAGGAAACTGAATTGCATCCTCTAAATTTAAGAAAAGTTATTGAGACATTCTACTTGCATAGAGATAGTAAAAATACATTTTAAACTTGTGATAATTGCCCCTGAGTGAAGAACCATTGTACAGAGTTAAGTAAAATCTAGCGGTTAACACATGTTGTTTTGCTAGCATGAGGTGGAACAACAAATAAAATTATTTAGAGAAATACTAAGTATAGGGTCTTTAGAGATTTTAGTGTGTCTGGAGCAGGGGAAGATGTAGGAGCTTGAGTGGACAGTTTAGTGTGTTAAGATGTCCTACCTGAGTAGCCCTTCTGCTTTAAAATTTTCCCACTCTGGCAATCAGAATATAGCAGTCTTTATCAAACCAAGGACTATGTACTAGTTACAGGTGTATTAAAAAAAAAAAAAAAAGGAAAAAAAAAGAAAAAAAAAAAAAGAAGAAACATAGCTGTAGTGAATAGTATTGATTTTGTTGTGCAGGGATGAAAATATATAGATGTGCAAACCATGAAAAATAGAAGATTTCTTCTGAAAATCTTCTTTGCTGCTATGATATAAACTCATTCCTTTAAGAAATGAGCATGTATTAACAATTAGAGAGAGAAGAGAAGTTGGTATTTCCAGGCATGAGTTTATTTCTAACAAATTATGAAAGTTTTTGAAATGGCGTTTTCTTTTTTCATCATTTAATGTCTACAGAAAAACGCTGTTTAGTACTTGAAACTTAAGATTTCTGTAACCATCTGTTGCTAACTCTGGTAGTGTTTCGAAAATTGCATGTTTAACTAATCTCCTCTGTTACATGTAGTGATCAGCCCCACATTACTCTTTGAGTTTTCAGAAGTGCCAAGTATCCATAGCACCAAGTGTGAATAGCAGGTGCTTAGTAGTTCTGTAGTATCATAACCAAAGCAAGGCTGCAGAGCGCTCATGTATGTCTTTTGCTGTTCATTAGTCCAAATAAGAATATGTAACTGCAACATGGAATTTTTTGCCTGTGCTTGAAACAAAAGCTTGTGAGGCTATATAACCATTTTGCAACTGAAAGAACCTTTCAGCTGAGTATTTTACATTGTCTAATTGTGTATATGCTACATTTGTTACCATCTTTTGTGAGAGCAAATAAAACTGGTTATTAATCATTCACATGAACCATGTAAAAACAAGATCTGATCATTGTGTTGTAGAAACTGCTTACAGCTCTACTTTCAACTTAATCTTTAAAGTAAAGACTGTTCTCAAGGACTGTCATATTTGAACTCCAGCAAGCGACCAGGTACCATGCAGCTGCTCACTGTGACTACCACCACAAGGGGTAAAATAGCTCGACTTGGGGAAATTCCAACATTACATGTAACTGAAACATAAAAAATGTCGAGGCTGAAGTAGAAACCTAAATGCATAGATTGTCTCAGTCACCACAGCCCAGGGAAAACTGGTCTAACTCAAGATGGTATCATAGTCTCTGATCTCAGGATTCACAGTGTCCTTGCTGGGGGAGGTTCACTGGTGTTTGAAGGACAATATCCTTGCAGAGTCCCTCCTGCTGTTGCACAGTCATATTCTTTCTGCCAGCACTAAAGGACCTTCTGAGGACAAAACAACAGTCCTTTTAATGTATAAACAATTTTTTTATTTTGTCTTGTTAGTGGAAAGTTTGTGCAGGATAGAGATTATGACTTGGGACCTATACACGCTCTTAAAACCCAGGAATAACAGACTGCTTTTCATCAACCAGCTCAAACAGCAGACAGATGTCTGCCTGTAGATGTACCTGAGGTGTTTCATGTTGAACTCAAGAGAATTTCAAGAGTAGTGTAAGTCTCATCAGCATACACTCATGACTGCCTGCGTATCCTACCTTGTCTTTCACATTTCCTGCAGTCATTAGAGACAAATGGATATGATGTAGCTCCCATCTGTTCATTAACTTACCACATCATACATTGAGGACTTGCTTGTGGTCCTGATGGAGACATACTCCCCCCCAAGTACAATTACTGGGGCACGTGAACTCAACCATGGTGTATTCAACCAGAATCACCTCTATATTTCTGTGATCCTGCAGGCTTTGCCTCGTGTGGCTAAAGAGGAATTGCACTGCCTATCTTGTCTGGACAGACTACACCAAGCAGATGCACTGGGTCCTGCATATTGTTTGTATCTTGTTGCTACAACTCTCATCTGCTCTGGTCATACAATTAGTATAACCACAGACATTAAAAAATCCCACTTCTTGTAGTGTTGGTCTGACAGTTTTGGCCAAAGGCCATGCTTCTTCAGCTAAGGGTTAGTGCTGTCTAATCAGTTGTTATACAAGTCCTAAGGTCACAGATTCCACCCCAATACTTCCTGCTGGGAGAAAGGTGGAAGTGGAGAACATTCAGTCAATGCACTGACCTTGCACTTAGTCCAGCAGAAAAGGCTGATATTTTTTCAACACTGAGTAGTTCTCTGTCTGTATGGGGTTTTGTTAGCATTGCCTGCTAGTGCTCCTCTGTTTCTGTCCTTAGCTTTAGGTGGTAGCTCCCAATCTTGTTCTCTGTCAGGGTAACTTTCCCTAGACCTGAGGAGCAAGGACATGTTTGTTCAAGCGGGTTGAGAGCCTTACGAGTATTGCCAGGAAATTGTGGGAAATACAAGTTTGAGAGACTTCACTGCATCCCTGGGATAATGTCTGTGGTCCTGGAGAGTGTCTCTGCTTTCCATACTCTTTCTGGTTACTGTGGATAAGATTGAGCAAGCATCTTGCAGCTGTTTAACACTGTAGTGTTCTGAGGGTCTTCAGTCAATATCAGCCTTGTTCCACACACCTTTTTGAAGCCTCAGGGGCAGGGGCTGTTCAGCTTGGTCTTACCTCAGTGCTTGGTAATTATGACTTGTAAAACTTTGTGTAGTTAATAAACTGCAGGGTTCAGCAAGATACTGGGGTGTTCTAGACCGGATTTTTATTATTAGGAAACACAAGGTGAATGTGGTTTTACTAAAAGCAGTGGAAAATGCATGTCAATAACACTGACTCAGGTTACCCTTTTTCTACGTGGAGATTTCCAGGTACTCTTCTTTGGCTTTCTCTGTCTGTGAAATTCTTTGCCATAAACCCAGTCCATGCTATATCTTTCAGTTCTATACCTTTCAGATACTGAAAACTGGATAATCAAGGCAGAGAGGAGCAAATTACTGTTAATGCCATTAGAAATGCAAGCACCTGCTCATTTAAAGCATTGTCCACTGTCATTGAAAGTAGCATCTGTTTTATTGCATTTGTGGTTCTCCCGTTGGGAACTTTGCTGCAGGTAGCTCTGCCTCAGATGTGCTCTTTAGTCCTGTTTTTGGATGGAGCTGTCTCAGTGATGTGCCTGCATAGTGCCCTGTGCCTTGCTGCCCTTACTGGCTGGACTTTCTGTGTGAATCCTAGAGTTTACCCTGTCACCATGCTGGTGTCCGACAATCAGCCCTGTCAGGGCTGTCAGGTGCCCCTCTCACCATCCTTGCCCTGCCTGCCCTGTTCAGAGCTGGGGAGTGACACTGCTCCACCTGTGCTGGGAACACCCTTGCTGCTGTCTCACTGCTCCTCAGTGAGCATCCTCAGTGCTTCCCCAACAGACAGGACAACAGGCAATAAAAACCAGTTTCAGACATGCCTTTTTTTCCAAAACATTTATTGACAAATGCCACATTAGGTATTCCCTTGGAAATTCAAATATCACTATTATATTGCACACTGTTTAAAGATCCCCCAATATTTTCATGTGTTTTTCAGAAAAAACACACTATTCCATACTATGATTTTTTAAAATTATTAGTTGAGTGGCAACTTCAAGACCAAGAGGTCTGGTTTCTGTGCTTAAGGATAGGATCAGAAGCATACTTTTAGCAGGCCCCTGGAAAGAAAGAAAAGTAAACTTTAGTCTGTGTAAGTAAATTTGCAAAGGGCTTTAATAGCCATTAAATCTCCACTGAAGCTGTAATTACAACCCTCCTGGGGTACTTCTGAATCACAGTACAAGACTAGGGGGCAGGGTGCAAAAGTTTGCATTTCTCTCTGTCTATTGGCACAGACACAGGCAGCCTTTCCTAGCTAGCCATGGGCTTTTGGCTTTCCTGAGGACCAATCCATGACCCTGCAAACCAGCTGCCTTCCCTCTGCTACAGGGAGCGGTACAGAGCACTATGGGGCAGGGATGCCCAGGCCATGGCCTTGGGTGATGCCAGTACCTGCTCTGTAGTGGAGGACTGGCTGACACAACAATGTGCTGTTCAGGAGGTTTTAGCTGCCATTCCTTGTGCCACAGTGCAGAGCACATGTGCTGTGTGGCTTGGTAAGGGGTCAACTTCTGACCAAGTAGGTGAGGTTGTGAAGAGTGTGAGTCCTCAACTGCCAGCAAAGAAGAATTTCTGCCTTCTGCAGAGCCCTAAAAATATGTCCGCCTATTTCATGGGCAGCATTTGAACTAGAAGATCAATTCCTGTACCTCCAGAAAAATGTTCCCAAAATGGGCTTTAAACATGGTCTGTTTACATGTATGTGGAGCAGCTGCTGACTCCCACTGCCAGCTGACACAGTCAGAAATGCTGCTCAGAGCCCCTCATCCCTGCTACTCAGACCACACAGGACACAGGTCATGATGGAACTGAGGGTGAGAATGGTCCTTCCTGGAGGCACCTTTTCATCTTTTCCTGAGGGACACTGCATGGACCCATGGTAAGACGCTATTATGCAAGTGGCCAGGACAAGGATTTCCAGGTGCAGAAACCCCGGCTTGTTGCATCCATCCCTGTACTGTCTACTACAGTAACAAGGCTGATCTTCATCTGGTAGTGTACCAGGTTCAACACACAGGATTCCGGTAAGTTGCAATCTTAAGGCTGCAGAACTAGCCTGTAGCAGGCTCTTGTTCTTTTATGGATTTCCCTTTGTAGCTCTTTTCCTACTAGATCTAACATGAGGAAAAGGTTACTAAAAAAGAACAGCTGTGTTTTGCTGTAGTTCTGTCACATTAACAGCAAATGCAATCACCTACTGTGCAACTCAGTGAGTTTGCTAATTAGGCTGAAGTACCTGACTGGAGCACAGGTTGGAACTGGCCAGACATGCAGATTTCCTCCTGCTTTTGGCGCACAATGCGCTGGATGGCTGGGGGGAGGCCACGGGGGTTGCGCGAGAAGATCAGGGAGTAGCCATCATCACAGGAGCCGTCCTCCTTCAGGCTGCGGCAGGCATAGGTGATGGCATAGTTATCATAGTCAGTGTCAATCACCCAGTAGTTGTCCCCTGAAACAACAACACACAGCTTTGTCACAGTGGGCACAACAGAGCAGAGGTGGATCCTTCAGCAGTGAGGTGGCAAACTCGTGTTAGGGATTGCTTTCCAAAGGATCTATAATCACATCACACATCCAGCTTATCTCCACACCATGAGGGAAAGAACTCGGACAAGCACAGGGTATCTTGAGACCGTGATTTTCCCCACGATGCTCGGTGCATTTTCACCTTTTGTTTCTTAGGTTAGAGGTATTAGCAGGACTAGGATTTTCTAGGTTTTCAATGAAAAAATACCTCTTTATGTTGCTTGATCAAGCATGGTGGAAGGAAGGACATACATTTCCTATACAGGAGACCTCAGTAAAACATTCCTCCTGTTTCCTAGCCTTTCTCTACTTAGTTCTTTTTGGTGTGGCTTATCTGCCAGTACTAAGGGAATGTACTTCTTTCTTATACCTTAGAAGTCCTCCCCAACTTCCACAGCTGAGGAACTGCAGCTGTGGGAGGCTTGGGCATGAAGGATGGGCTTTGAAGGGCACGTAAGGTTCAGCATGAGCAGTTTCTAAAGGTACACTTGAGTTAACAGCTCCATTTCTTTGAGTCCAGCTGTGTCTCTCTGAAATGAGTCCTGTTGCTGGGGTGCAGCTGTGGGTCTACGTGTTTCCTATGTTTAGCTATGGGGAATACAGGGGCAACTGACCTCAGCACTTCCATAATGCCCACAGTGGGCCCCAGGAAGAATGGCTTCCCTAGGTTGAACACCACAATTGGCTGTACAGAACCCATTTTGTGTGGCCCAAAGCCTGTAAGCCTCCTTGTTAACATATATAGTGTATGAGAAGGATGTGTGGGGAGCCTCTGGATGCTGCCCATTCTGTGGAGATAAAATGCACAACTTGGATAAAGCATGCTCTCCCTGAAAGGATGTTTCAGGGGAGCTTGGAGCAATCCCAGCTGAACTGTTTTTCCTGCTTATATGTGGAAATGCACATCTGGACAGTTGTAATTGACAAAATCCTCAGCAATTGAAAAGTGTCAGGGGGCTGGAGAATTTAACTCACCACCGCTGGAGAGGTAGCTGGCCAGTCCCTGGTAGGTCATATACATTTTTGCTGGAGTGGTTGGGTCAGGTACCGTGTACTGAGCAGCCATGTCAGCACAGATCACCCAGAAACTGCAACGAGATCCATAACATTCAAGGTAAAACCTGGCAGCATGAGAACTTCAAAAGGGTGTCCTCTCAGGGCTTGGGTACAAGTCCCTCAGGCATGGGGCATGGCCTTTCTAAATGCAAAGTCACTAATTATTGTCATTAAGTGATGCAAATCTGTGACACCCCCCAAACACACATCAAGCACAGCCAGTGATTGCTGCTGCCCTCTGGTCCCCAGCTGCTGTAAGGCTATGCTGTGGCTGGGGCAGTACTCTCCTTCAGTTCAGTAAGATTTTTGCCACCCATTTCTGTACAAGCAGACAGACACCAAGCACAATAATGAACGTTGTTTCTTGGCTTCCTGCTAGCAGTCTGCAGGGTGAGCTCACCTGCATTTGGAATCTTTTGGGCTCAGTAGATGTGCCCCAGGAAGAGGCAGGGACTTGGCTCTCCCCTGTCTATCCCTTCCTGGCAGTGTGGGCACAGGAATGTCTGTTACAAGCACAGTAATAGTTACAGCTCCTGTGCCAAGCTGGTGAAAAGCTGTCACAGAGCCTTTGAGAACCCTGTGGGTGTCCATTGTTACAATGCCCTTCTCTGTTTGGTATCTCTTTGCTTTGAATGCCATCCGCATTTCAACACTCTTTGTCAAGCCTTACCTGGATTAGTGAAACAGTGGAAGAGTCTTCATTCCCTTCCTTGCTCAGGCTGGGCTTCCCCTTATCCTACCTTTACAGAAATAAAATTTGCAGGAGCCTTGAGACCCCATTTGTTTTTTCAAGAGTCCTTTCATGCATCTTCTCCCTTGCACAGTATGGCATGCCTGCAAAACCTCATTTGCCCATTCCCAAAATATCTTGGAGCGCTGCACTGTTAAGATGTACAAGGTTCATAGCCACCTGCTAGTGCTAGCGTATTGGAAGCCACAGATTTTCTCTTTTGCACTCAGAAAGCTATTTAATCTCTTTACATGCCGTAATTCCTTGTAGTAATCATGACCAACAGGCAAAACTCTAAGCTTCCTGCCATCTGTCCATTCAGGCATTGCAATTACATCTAAGAGTTTTTCTCAGAAATCTTGCATCTTGACAGCCTTCATTAGCTCCTTTACTTGATTGCAATTAATTTATCTAACCATTCCATCAATCAAGATTTGACTTAATAATTAACTTTATGCAGTAGTTTTGTGACAGACCCAAACCTGAGCCAGGCTGTGAACAATCTCAAAAGTGTCTAACCTCTAGCTTCTAATCTGATACTTTGGCTAAATTTCCCTTTTTGATGATGAAAACTCAGCCATGTTGTGTGCTCAGGGTTGATCATCATCCATGTCCCCCTCATCCAGTGCCTCATGTCAGCAGCTAGAGTTGAAAGTCAAGAGAGCTCACCCAAAAAGCTTCACTCGGCCTTTGGAGGATGCTGTCATTGTGCCGTCTTCCTCCACAGTGTATTCAGCAGAGATGTTGTCCTGAAGGAAAAGGCCTTCTGGATCCTTCTTGGCCAGGGCATACCATTTCCCTGCATACTGTCATGAAAGTGCATTAATATCTGCAATAGCCACCATGGCAAGATTAGCACAAAAACAATTTTGTGAATCAAAGTGCCTTTCTAACTCCCCACTGCATGATAAAAGCCAGTCTGAGTCGGGAGGGAATGTAGCACACAGATGCTGCTGTGCTGTCTGATGAACCCTTGCCTCTGTGCCAGAAGAAGTGGGTCTGGCAGCTCTGCACTGCTCTGTGTGTGTAGTCCTTGTGAAGTGAGACATTCCTGTCACACTGACCCCACACCAAAAGCATCTCTCATCCGAACACATCTTCTGAGAGTCAGACTGGTTCTTCCCTGTTCAAGCCCCTTCTCTTCCATGGAATACCATACCAAGTTCAACAATATCAAATTGCAGGTACAAGGACTGTAGCAAGCTGGCAAGAGACAGTCTTTGTGGCTGCCACGGGCCACAGTCAATCTCTGATGGGGAAAAGGGCCTACCCAGCAAAGCAGAAAATGATGACTATATGCTCAGAACATGGAGAGGGTGTTTTGGGGAGAGTAATGGCAGAGACAAATGGATTGAGATTAAGAGAAAGAATATGTTCATGCAAAAAATGGGTCCTGAAAATGTATAAGAAGTATCTAGTTAAAAGAAAAGAAGATCTTAACAGGTGACTGACAGAGAGGGAGACCCTTAAAAGTTAACATTATCAGTAGAAATCCTGAGAAGAGCAGGAGCTGGCTAGGTGTTAAAATTGATTCTGCAGTGAAGCTAATGACATCTGTTAGGCAAGTTATGGGCTTAAGCCAGAAAGGCCATGATTCCCAATACAGGAGCCCGAGCAAAAACTTTGACTTTTTAAACTGGGATATTCCCAAAGCTCTCCCTGGACATGATTTGTTACCAAAGCAAAGCCAATCTTGTACAGACAAAGGGCTTGCCACATCCCAGATGCCCCTACAGCTGTGGTGTTTGCTGACCATTAGTTAACATAGGTACTGACACGTCTGGACTTTTCCAACAACAGATTAGCCCTCATTTTCTCCTCAGAAGCACAAATGATGTGTTTAAACAGGAGTCGGTGCTCAGCATAGCAGACTAGGTAAGATTTCCATTTGCTGTGACTCCCAAGAATGACTAGTGATGGGTGCAAGTACCCTAGGGCTTGTGCTTGAGCTTCCTCTCGATGTAGATCTAAATTGTTCCTTTCATGGAACTGCCTGAAGCTCAAAATTGTGCCAAGCTAACAGAATATAAGCTCTAGTAACATCCCTGGCTTTCAAGGCCAGTTTTACTGTAGTGTTCAGAAAGTTAAACAGTACTGAGATAACTACAGGAACAGCATCAGCAACACGGAATATGAAAGAAGTTAGCTTTTTGGTTAAGAACCCCTTTAGATGAACAAAGCTCATAATCTGGAAAAGCAGTGTATATGTAAAGCTTCTTCACATGTACTATGAAGTAACCATAATTACCCTTTTTGGATCAAAATTGTCTTTCACAGAGAAAGAATCCACTGCACAGGTCTGAGCTAGGCTATATTCAACAGTGTAGAAGACCGAGGCCAGGAAAACATACTGTGCGTATTTCATTCTGCAAGACAAAAGCAAACATGGGGGTTTATTTCATGCAGTAGATGGAGGTAGATAGTGCTACAGATGCATTTCCACCATTTAAGACTAGTTTTTTCCCATACTACTATCCATTGATAGTGACAACCAGCTCTTCCATTGATACCAAGTAATTGTGGTGCCTAAATTCAGCCAAAACCGAACATCGATGGCAATTACTTTGGAGAAGTATTTTGCTTGCCAGAAGTAGTAATGCAATTCATTGTATTTTTGCATTATAAATCAAGCCAGACTATGGATAAGGTCAGTAAGATTTGGTAAAAAATTGAAATGTTTTGAATTTTGTTTTTGCAGCAAGAAAAATGTTCTGATGAGCTCTGGTAAAGCACTGTACATTGTAAAGATGTTGTTTCTAATTATTTCACAGTGAGTGTCCACTTTGCTTTCAAGCCAGCAAAGCCATGTTCTTTATCTCCAGTTCTGCTCACCAAAACAGGCCTCTTCTGGGTGCCTACTCTAATGGCATAACACACCTTGGTATTGGCTGCCCTCTGACCATTCCTTCAACAAACATGACAAATAATATTAATTTTCTAGAGGCTTAATCTGTCATTGCACCACAACCACTAGGTGATCATGGCTGTTTTTCTCCTGGGGTATCCCACCTCATCCATATGCCAGCATATTTGTTTCTCAGACTTCAGGAAGAGAGAACCTTCATTACACATTCTTGCAGAGTATTTGACACTGAATACCTGTCCTAATGCCAAGATAAAACAGTTATCTAACACTTGTCAGCACCATTCAAGCTGAGCTCCCAACCCAGAGCCCAAACACCCATGCAGCAACACTAGGCTGTTCCTAGCTGCTGCCATGCAAGCTGCATTTCTCTGCTGCAAGATATGCCAGTCTCATCCACCTCTGCTGAAGAGAGACCTACCTGCTGAGTGGAGATGTTGGAGATCCTTGAGACTACTCTGCTTCAGTCTTTGGACTGCAGGTAGCAGGAGGGTTTTGTGTCAATTGCCCTCCAGCTCCCTTTAAATAAGGAATCTACAAAGTCACTAATTGGTTATTTTTGCTCGTGTGCCTGAATAAAACACTTAATCTTGGATAATCCATTATGTAAAAACCAACTGTAATCCTCACACTGGTGGGTCTGACTGCTATACTAATACAAACACAGCTTTTACATAATGGGAAAAGCTGCCCAGAAAGCTAATAAATCTGATGATTTGATTGTGCCACTGCTTTGTCTCATTGAAGTCTTTCTGCCTCTAACACATGTGAGGAGAATAAGAACAGAGCATTAATTAGAGAAACACTTGGCCTACACACATGTATCTGCATAGGCACGTGTTTTAACAATTTGCATGGAGCAGGTACATAATTAGCTTTTCTCATACCTGCATCATCAAATTGGTGATCCTTTCAAGAGTAGGAAGACATTATGCATTACCTACATGGGGAAGGGGACAAAAAAGTGCAAAAATACAGTTTAGCCTTCATGTTCTTATCAGAATCTTGAGACTCCTCAGTTCTCCTGTGCAGTGAAACATTTTTTTGTGAATTCTTCCTAGCTAATTTTGTCAGCATTTCCAGTTACAGAAATACTACAGCTCTCTCCTTCCCAAAATGTTCCTTCTAGTAGCCTCTCATGGGAATACGATACATCAGAAAAAGACAAGAAGGCAGAGATCACTAGAAGAGTACTTTTGGCAGCAAACCATGCCTACCATTCTCAAGTGCCCACATAACTTCTTTAACTGCAAAGGTTGCTCCTGAACTCTTTCTCCCAGGCTCACCTGGGACGTCTAAGACTTCAGACATTCAAGTAGGAGTTGATGGTACTAGCAGCTATTCCTCACACTGGGTGCTAAGTGCTGGGGAGCCTTGGGCATAACCACTAGGGACAACCCTATAATTCCTATGGAGTCAGCCCAGGAAGTCCTGAAGCTTTTGATTCTGATCCAACAGCCTGGACTTCTAGAGTGAGACCAAAGCCTGCTGGATGTTTTGGGCTTGCTCCAGTGACCACTTACTGCCTCTTGCCCAGGACTTCTTGTGTCAGAAGTGCACAACTTTGCCCTGTAGCTTATGTGAACTCTGTTGCTTTCCAGGCAGCTTGTCTAGGGCTGCCCCTTGCCTGGAAAAAGCTGTCCTTGCTTGCTGCCAGGGGCAACTTTGATTTGGCCTCTGTGCATCTTCCATTTACACTTCAGAGGGAGGCAGTGGTACTTTGCATGTAGAGCAGTGACTGAACCTATCCTGTTCACTGTCCTCAGAGGCAGCCTGGGAAAGCCCACACAGGAATGAGCTCATGGTGACTGGGGCTGCTTGGCCACCTAAAGAGTCACATAAAAAGTAACTTCTTAAACTGCACCTCAGGGCTAGATGCCCGGTCGGTTTTAAAGGGACTGACACTGAATATAAAATACACTCTTTTACCCTGACACGGGGATTTGACAGAGAACAAACTGCAGTGTTTTCTGTAAATTAGGAGGCTTTCAAACACTTATCAGTTCATCTGTTTCCAACAAAAGAGATTAGTTTATGTCCATGTGAGACATAGGTGACACTTGAAGCCATGCTTAGATGAACCACTTAATCCCCTGGGGATTAGACACATGCTAATAATAGCTAATCACAGCACAAGATTTTGGTTGGTGAGCATAACATCTGTCACTACATTACTTGCTGTTTAGAGCAAGAAGAAAACAAAATGAAATTTACCTTCATTTCTGCAGTATTATGGCCATTTGTACTGGGCATAGGGAAAAAAAAATGGAGGAATCAAAGCATTGAAACATATTCCTGGGTTTGTTGAATTTGATGTAACATGAAACAGATTTTATAAAACAAAGATGTGTTTGGCTGTCAAAGAAGATACCCAAGAGCCTGTTACAGACTTGCTCACCAAAACTGGCTGGTTTTCAGTAGAAGAGATGGCCTGACTGTTCAGTGTACTGAACTCAGCATAAGGATAGCTTTTAATGGTAGTTTTAATGACATGTAGCAAAATAGGTATGCAAATGAGATGATTAATCTTATCTTCTTCCCTATCCTGTGAAATACATCACCAGCAGTTTCAGATTTCCTGCACCTAGCAGATCCTCCTTTTGCCTTATTATTGGAATAAGCATTGGATAAACTGCTCTGGGAATTGCTGCAATTGCACTGCAATCTCAGATTTAGTAATTTGTGCTGCTAGCTCAGCAGCCGATGCCACAGGATGAGAGCTCTGAACACGCTCCTGCATCAGGCGCTAAGTTCCCTGCTGTCCAGCAGGTGATCAAATTGTGGGTTTGTTTGCCAAGGCACTGGAGAACAGCAGGTGCATTCTGAGTTGCCCCTGACAGCTTCTGCAGTGGTTATTGCCCCATGACCTGTGGGAACTTCATCCTCCCATTTTCCATTTAATTCATGCTGCTGATGCCGGGCTTTTTTTCAGGGGTGTCGCATGGCAGTGCCTGCATTGCTGAGAACGCACATCCCAGTCCCAGGTTTGCCAGGGGCTGGGAGGGCAGTGGTAGTCTGCTCCACTCCTTCGCTGGGGCAGGACACAGGAGAAATAAGGCTTCCCCGCAGTGGGACACCATGTCAAGGCTGCGGACACAGAGGTTTTCTGTTTCTGTGACTTCTGCTCAGAAATGTGGACCTTTTCCAAGGAAGTGAGTGGTGCAATAAAGGTGAAGAGGAAATTGTTTGAAGTTTGTTCTTCTATGGTTCAAGGGCAAGATTTGTGGGTGTGTTATATAATTAGGTTAAAAAGGCATCATAAATCACTGCATTAGGACTTTCAAGTCAATATTCAAATACCTCACAGTTTTAAATGACAGGAACTGAGATACACGTTTCCCTTCTGAAAAATGATAGTGTAATTCTTGCTGAATGTATTGACTGACAATTGGCAGAGCAGGGCCTCACATGCACCTGTGCACACAACACATCTCAGAAAAAGGCACATACTTTTTCACTCTGTTTTTAAGTGAAACAGGGGGGCTGCTCAAAACAAGAGAAGTCAAGAAGCCTCAGCTTCTCTGCCATGATGGGCAGTCAGCTCGGAGGGAATGGTTTTCTTAGAGCCTTGACAAGAGCTTGCAAGAAAAATTAAGTTCCAGCCTCTCTTCCAAACCCTTCCATATCTTGCTGCCTTGGTAGAACAGGGTGAATGCAGAGCTGGCTAAAATCTCTCCTTCAGTGGGATTTCACCACGTAGTGATCTGCTGGCCAAAGAAGCAATTTAAGGTTTTGTGCCATCTGCTGGTTTCTGCACAACTGTGCAGATGGTGGTTGCAGTTTGATCAGTGAGCTGCTGGATTTCCTCCCAAGCCGTGGCAGTTCCCCAAATGGCCTGCTGCTAATCTCTACCAAAAGACAGCTCAGGCCTAAGGCAACCTCATGAAAAAGAGTCTATTTGGGGCCCTCAGATAAAAATAGGAACTTTTTTTTTGTAATTTTCTAGTACTTACTATGAGGCATACTGTTGACATATCTCTATACCTATCTAATACTTACTACTGCTGAACTGATCAATTTCCAGACATTGGCAGGTTTCTTCTCTTTAATTGCAGCATTTGTTTAAAGATACAATGTTTGCCTTTTTCATGCGCGGCTGCCAGGGCCTGGAGGGCAAAGACCAGCTTTTTCAGCCCAAGAGGACTGGAGAGATTGCCATTTCATCGTGGACAAGGAGGCAGGTGTGGTCATCACAGGGAGGCATCTGCAAAGAGGAAAGGAGCTCAGTTCTCTGGAGATAAGGTCTTTACACTTGAAAAGATCTCTGATATACCTCTATGGCCTGATCCTATTCTTCTCTTGGGGGAAGGCAAGGGGAAGGCGAGAGGAAGGAGATTGTTTCCTTCAGACAGGACTAGCCTCTCCCACATTTCAAAATGAGCTAACAGACCTGAGTTAATTTAATTCCTGGTGTTATTCCCAGGATGCCTTCCAAAAAGAAGGAGGAACAGAGGTCATGTGAATATCCCTGAAGGTATAAACCATGTGTGTAGTATTTTCTTTCCTTTTCTGTTCCTGCAACAGAAACAGTTTAACACAAAAAATGGAGGAATAAATCTGTAGGCTCTAACTGGTTGCAAAGCATGATGTAACAAGAGACCACATGTCCACATGTTTCAGACGGTAAATTCTGCCTTCAGATTATTGCATCAGATTATTCCGATGGGATATACACAGCTCTTTCGTAGCACGCATCTCAAGGTGCGTTACAAAAGTGATACTCCTGGCACAGAGCTTGAGTAGTTATGGGTAAGCCAGGATGTCCATGCCAGCCCTGATGATGGATTTAAAAGCTAAAACCAGAAGCACAAATTACAAAAGCCAAGGAAATCTGTATGGGCACGCAGTCAAAAGCCATTGGCCGGGCACCTGGCCTTAGTGGGTGTTAGAGGACACAGTTTCCTTGTGCCACAGAAGGTGCAAGGAGGGAAGGTTTAGGTCAGAGCATCTTTCTGCACTCCAAAGGGAGGGCAGCTGTGAACACAAGGCTGATTAGTGAGGGACAGAGCAAAGAGAATAAGCAAAGGCTTTCACATACAGCTGCACTTCAGATTTCTACATCTGCTTCTTCTGTAGGAGAAATGGATGGAAATATGGAGCAAGGGGAAAGAGAGGAGTTCTATAAACTCCTGTCAAAAATGATAGAATGACTTTTTTCATGGAGGATTTGTTTGCTTTATGTTTTCAGCAGCTGATCTTTAAAGCTGAAAGACCTCAGAGAGCCTAAGCCTTCCATGGACCATGGCACACTTCTCATCACTTACACACAAAAAATATTTACTTTACAGACAAGCCCAGAAGTTCCAGTCAAATCTCAGAGTCCCACGGTGTTACCACCTCTGTAAATTTACAACTGGAGTACTCAGCCTGAAGACCAAGCTTACATCTGCTTTAGACAGGATGGTGGTGTTCACAGGGCTCCCAGGAAGAGGGAAGAGATGAGAATGTTGACTTAGTTATTTCAGAAGTCTTGATTTATTATTTTATGATATATTTTATATTAAAACTATACTAAAAGAATAGAAAGAAGGATTTCATCAGAAGGCTAGCTAAGAATAGAAAAGGAATGATAACAAAGGCTTGTGAATGACTGAGACAGTCTGGACAGCTGGACTGCAATTGGCCATTAATTAGAAACAACCACATGAGACCAATCACAGATGCACCTGTTGCATTCCACAGCAGCAGATAATCGTTGTTTACATTTTGCTTCTGAGGCCTCTCAGCTTCTCAGGAGAAAAAATCCTAAGGAAAGGATTTTTCATAAAGCATGTCTGTGACAAGACAGAGCAACAAACTGGAAACACTGAAAATTTCAGGGCTGCCTCAAAGAGAGAGGCCCATTAAAAATACCACCACAGCAGCCGCTTCTGCCATAGTGACTGGACACTAAGCATCCCTCTGCCCACAAGAAGAGAAGGAAGAGGGGGCAGGCCACAGTGTGGCCCAACATCACCAAAATCTCTGCAGGACTCCCTGCAATCCTGTGCCTGGCAGCTTAGCATGGGGAGCCATGGCTGCTCCTGTGAGGGCCAGCGAAGCTCCTGTAGGACCATTCCTGCTGCTGGTCACTGGAATGTGAGCACTTGCTTCCTCTCTGCTGCAGCCTTGAGTCTGCCAGTGCTGAAAACCTCTTTATACTGTTCTGACAGGTGCA